CGAATTTGATGCCGCCGCCCGGTTCCGATGCGGATAGCTAGCAGACTTAGAGCCGCGCCACCTTGCACCAAGTGCGCGAGGACCTTTAAAAAACTCTGTGACGCACGTCCAGATGGTAAGACAATGCTGGGAGCTTCCGACAGGGCGGCAGAGTCCCACCAATGAACTGGGGCCTGAATCTCCCGGCGCTGCGGTGACATCCAACCACGGGTTACAACCACATAGTCTCGGATCAACGCAGCCGTGGCAAGCTGAAAATGCAAGTCGAAGTATGCCTTGTGAGTGGTGGCCACGAGAAGAAGGCCAGAACAGGGCACATCCAGGCGATGAAGGAAGCCATGCTGCTTGGAAACATCGCTGAGCAAGGAAGAGTGACAGCGCGGGTACATGCTCAGCACGAACTCTGACAGTCGACCCTTCTCGCGGCTTGCCTCTTGTGGCCCAAGGTCCACCTCCCAGCCCGGTGGCTTGAAGACAACCAATACATCCTCGGACAGGACAGCTTTCAGCACAAGATAGCACAAGTATACTTGCCTCATTCTTTGCCTTGCTCCTACAAGCGTTCCAAGATGTTCAAGTCCGTGTGCCAACAAGCATCTGCCACTTCCGCCTTTACGAACGGAGCTGCGCTGGAGGGTGCTGAAGGTACTTGCCCACTTTGCCCACTTGCCACCGGCAGAAGCTTCAAGGAGTCCAGATCCAGACGCGCACCCAATTGACTCAGGGAGCTTCGTGCAGCATCTGCCGTGGCCCAGGCCTCACAAGCTCTCAAAAAGGGGGGCCCCTAGCCTGTCGATACCTGTCTCAGGATCAACGTGTCGCCCCAGAATCCTAGAATCCTAGAACGAAGGAGGGCAGAGACCTGACAGGGCACCAGAACATCAGCAAAACTGCTTGCCCACAGGATTGTCAGTGCAGCATCGACAAACTCCATCTGCCATCCTCAGGTTCACAGTTGGCTTCGTCGTGATGTGCGAAGTATGCATACTTGTTTTAGTATGAAAACGTAATGCACACATGTACATACACACATTATGCAACACAGTGGCTAACTGTGCGCTGCCTGAATTATGTGGCCTGTCTACCTGCCTGCCCATCGTCTGCGATACTCAACTTCTCACTTTGACTTCTCAGATCGGCTTGGCAGTACTTGCAGATGGGTTGCGATAAGACTGACTCTGGCAAAGCTCCGGCAGCCTCCTGACTAGCTCGCTCTGAACTTGAAGTAGGGCAGAGTCGTGAGTCTTTGAAGGGCCTGAAGTCGACAGGGCCCAGGCCAGATTTGCCAGACTGGCTGACTTCAGCAGTCTTCCATCTCCATGCTCGAGTTGCACAGTTGCTCTGTCAACCAGGCCGCTCAGGACGTCCGCAGCGGACATTGATGCAACGGACCACATCACTGAACAGAGCTCCGAGAACTCAAGGTCCGTGGGGGCCTGCAGCAGGTTGCAGACGACAGTTGACAACTCCGTTGGTATGCGCGACAAGAAAATGTACGTAGGACTTCGTCCAAGAAACGGCAGCCACGAGCTTCGCCAGTTGGCCGGAGGCCTGCTCCATCATACCAGGTGGAAAGTGTCTCGTGGCTCTTGCAAGTCTCCACGAGATGTAGGAAACATCTGCACTCGACAAGTCTGTACAGCCGGCAACTGCTGTGAGGTCGTCAAGGAGCAAGCTGTTGGTCACAGCACCTATGGCCCAATGGCCTTATGGCCCTATGGTCAAGCAGAACTTCTCTCTTCTCTCCAAGTGCACTTATCCCCTTCCATTGCTATGGCTAGCATGCATCCTTCTCTACCTCGACTACTTGCTGAAGGCTGCTCTTAGACACCTGCAGGCGTTGATGTGTCCAATAGCAGGCTGGACACCATCTGCCAGCGGCTCTGACGCCGGCAAGCGCTGATTGCTGCAGCCGTGGACCCATCAGTGGGCATCGCTGTAAACACCCTTATGTCTGCCAACAGGCGGACAGCAACATGCCAAAGACCACCCTGCTCACAGGCTGAAATGGCAGAGCTGCAAGTAACAGCATCAGGGGTCAGCTTCTGCTTCGTCATATCCCAGAATATGTCCAGTGCCAGTTGCCATTGAAGCCCTCGCTCACACGCACTGATCACCGAGCTGTATGTGACAATGTTCGGGGTAGTCGTGTCTCGCAGCATTGTGTGAAGCAGCTGAAGGGCCGGCTGCCACTCAGCAACATCTTCGCAGGCACTGATGGCTGCACTGTAGCTGATGACACTAGGCTGCATCTGTTGTTCCTTACAGCATGCCAGCAGCATGATGGCCGACTGCCATCGCGAGCCTCTTGCGCAAGCACTAATGGCAGCGCCAAATGTAGTCTCCTGCGGTGGGCATTCTCCCATCATGGTTTCCAAAGCACAGAGTGCAAGCTCCCATTGCCCACCTTTCTCGCACGAGCTGATCATCGCGTTCCAAGAAACGCTGCTGGCCTCTACCCCTGCCCTTGTCATGTCTTCCCAGAGGAGCAATGCCCTTTGCCATTGGCTCGTGCGCGAGCATGCGCTCACGGCTGCTGTGTAGCTAAAACAATCTGGGCACAAGGAAGCCGTCGTCTGCATCTGCGCAAACAGATACAGAGCGAGTTGCCATTGTCCGCCGTTTGCACATGCAGCAATGACGGGGTTACAGCTTATGATGTCCAGCTGTAGTTGAGCGGCGGTCATGCCGACAGATACACTTAGCGCAGCCTGCCAGTTGCTTGCCTTCTCGCAGGCACTTATGGCCGCACTAGATACAATCTTATTTGGGTTGTGCTTCTGTCCACGCATGCTGGAAAGGAGGTTCAGTGCATGTTGCCACTCGTGACCTCTCTCACATGCACTGATGGCGGCACCGTATGTGACCTGGTTTGGCAGGATCTGTGATTCAAACATGTGGCTTAGGATGTGCAATCCCTGAAGCCACTGGCTCTTGCTGCCGCAAACGGCGATAGCAGAACTGTAAGTGACCACATCTGGTGTAATCAATGCCTTTGTCATGCAGCCCAGCAGGTGGATGGCATGTTGCCAGCTTTCCCCCTCCAGGGCTGCGATCGCTGTGCCAAAGCTGATCTGATCCTGCTGGATGCTATGGCTTTTCATCATGCTTAGGAGCGACAATGCCGTCCCCGACTCTCTTCCTCGGGCACACGCGGAAATAGCAGCATTGAAGGTGACCGCAGTCGGCAGAATATGATCAGTCGAGACCATTTGTAACACGTCGAGTGCCACTTGCCATGCACTGCTTTCGGCACAGGCGCTGATCACCGAGTTAAACGTAACAATGCTGGGATGCAGAATTGAACGTGACATCTCGGACAGCAATCCAAGAGCGAAGGTCCAGCGGCCCTCTCGCTTACAGCCAGACAAGACCGCGTTGTAGTGGAAGGTGTTGGCTTGCACATGATTCTGCACCCTGAGTGTCAAACAAAGCTCGAACTGTTCTTCTTGCTAGCTTGTAATGACGCCTGGCAGACCTTCAACACAGTTGATGATAGATTCTAGTTGTTACACTGCAGCCCAGACTCATGTGGTGAACAGCCTGGGTTGCAGGGCCAAGGTTTTCAAAATTCTGCAAAGTGCACGCATATGGGTTTGTTTTTTTAGTGGCGAGGCGCGTGACACGTGTTGGGGTCGGGGTATGTTTCACGGGTATGTTTCGGGGTATGTTTCGGGTGTATGTTTCGGGTATGTTTCGCGGCATCAGGAGCTACTTTACCTGCAATTTCGGGGGTATGTTACGGGGTATGTTTCGGGGGTATGTTTCGAGGTATGTTTCGCGGGTGTGCAACCCGTGTGCCATTCTTAAACCTGAGCCCCCCCAAAAAACACAAACCCATATATCCTCACGGTCTGTGCGATCTGCCAGGTAGCCTCCATGGCCTCGTCGATGCTGCCTTGCTTGGACAGCTTAGAGATCGCCGCTGTAGCTTCTTGCGGGTGTGTGCGCCATCGCTCCAGGGGCAGCGGCTGCTTCACCTCAGCAGCTGAGGGGTGCAATACCGAGACTGCTGAGCAACAGGATCCAACCTGTAGAAGATTCGGCCAAGTCGCTGCAAAGCTCCGACGATCAGGTCCCACCATCTCGCATGGAGCAGCGGCCCTACGTCACAGAGCTGAATTCTGAGAGGCTTCCTTCGGTGCGTGAGCTGTTGTTGCGGCAGGTGGCAAGTGTGGTTTGCGCACAGAAAAACGACTGCAACCCTTGAGTCGCACCCCGCAGTGCTGGCAATTGTCCATCATTGACACAACCTAGACGTTTTATCGAATACGAAATGTTTCCCCTAATCTGCAGACCTCCACATGCCAAACCTCCTTGCTGGTGCCTCGATGGAAACATGAACCCGGCTTAGCAGAGGACGACTCTCTGCTGCACGCGGCGTTCTTGAGCAAAGCCACCTGGCTGACAATGCTAGATCGTTTTCCTTCTGAATGCCTCGAAAGAATAATAGCTCTTGTTATCTCAACGCAGACTTCGCCATGGCGCAAGCTGACGTGACATCGGAAGCAGTTGAAATTTCAAGGCGACGTTCTGTCCTGGGCTCGTACTTCCAAACTCCCAAAATGGGCACCTGTCTATCTGTCCTACGCCGTACCCTGAACAGCCCATGGCCAGCTTCTTCATTCCGCGTACTGCGAGAGCACCGGTTCTTGCCGTTAGTTAAATGCAGTCAGGGCACTTTGTTCCTCACCTACGCAAGTCTGACAGCTTAAGCCCACCGTGCCATGCGCCACCTCCGCCGTGCAAGGGCGTGTTGACAAAGGGACTCGCGAACGGCATGAAATTCTCCATTCCCATGCCTGCTCCTGATGGCAGCAGCATGTAGCAGCCATTCAGGCAGAGTTTCAGCTTCTGCTTTGGCTGGCTTCACACACACAGCATGAAATCTGCGTGCGATGTACTGTAGCCTGCACACCGCACTGTTGGCTGCCACCAGAAAAGAGCAAGTGATTCTCAAACTCTTGCAAACTGATTGCTTGGCCTGTCATGTCCAAAGCTTGGGCTGGAAACCTGACATGCCAGTGCAGCAATCGGAGCGCCAGTAAGGCTTGGCATGTGAACTACGACGACAATGCTTCACTCAATGCTTCCATCATGCTGAACGTGGGAGTCAAGTTGCCAAACATCGCCAACGCCATTCACGGCCACTTTGGCCGTGTCATCGTCGTGATCCACCTTGTGCTTTCACGCCGAATCATTTGCGTGTGACTCAACCCCTCCAGTTGGCCTTAGATCCGGAAACTAAGTGCTTGCCAAGCCCTTCTGTCCAGCACCCTCCGATGCCTTGATGACGCGCCCTTCTTTGCCCACGGACTGCACCCTGCGGGCAGCTCAAATGGAGTGACTTCGAATAACTCTGCGAATTTCACTGCACTTGAGTGCTGCTGGCGCCTCTTGCCATCATTTGTAGCATCTATGCCGGCCGCGCGGCACAGCCGCAGCAGTCGGCGCTTGTCTGTGTGCACCTCGCAACACAGGTCTTGTGAGCTTGTATTCTTGGTTTGCAAGCAGCTAACATCATCCGTTCAGATCCGAGAAGTCCTTGCAAGGCCTCTCTTGCATGCATGAGGTTCTTAGTCGTGATTTTGCGTGCGTGGCCCGGGGGGCATTATCGGCACTTGGCCGAGTTGTTCGGCTCAAACCTCGCTGCAGACGCCAGCCATGTTGCAGAGTCTGCAATGTGCGGCATTACTTTCGGTGGTGCCAAGGTGGCGCGCCTTGACGGTGGCACCAACGGAGATCCCAGGTGAACCAAAGCCCTCGGCAGAATAGTGGGGCTTTTGAGCAATGGACCGCGACCGCAAGCCCTGGACTGCAAACTTTTTCAGCAAAGAGGCTTGCATAGCCTGGAGGTTCAAGAAGAGCTGCGCAGGTCGCAGCACAGCATGCTAAGATTCCTTACTACTTAGCATACTTAGCATACTTAGCATACTTAGCATACAGTAGTGCTTGAAGATCTTTCTAGCTCGTCTCACAAAGCACTACGCACCTCTTGGAAGCCGCGCTGCCCAAACACCTGACGCCGCAGACAGGGTAGACTGGCACGTGCGGAGGCCTCTCTATTTTTGCAGTTTTCTGGAGACCTCTAGATTTCTTTCTAGAGATGGGCAATCCTGTCACAGCACAGCTGCAGTTCAAAGTGCTGTGAGTGGACCAGTTTCGTGGCACCCTCAAGAATCATCCCATGGTTCACGAAAAGCGGTCCAAAGATCACTTTGGAAGCCTAGCCGGCAGGAGCACGGAACAAAGAGAACAAGTGGTGTGCGCTTCCCTCCCGTTATGGATTCTTTGCTGTCCTCTGTTGGGTACGATTCTGGAAGATGCAAGGCCGTCCCCTTTACTCCAGTTGCAGGCACTGGAAAGAATTGGACCTGAGAGGGTAGGCACTCAGGGACCTAGGACGACATGATGAGTTAACTTCAGGTGGAGTCGTGCCGCGCGAACACTTCATTCCCCTTTGTTCCAAAGAAACTTCCTGGCCCCCCGACCTGTCGGAAGAGGTCTTCTGCGCTTGCCTTGGCAAGCAGAGAATGTCGGGTTTTTTCGAGCTTCCGCAGCTCTCAAGCTGCCGTGAAGATTGCACAAGATATGACCTGCACGACATGTTTTGAACCCGTCGCGATTTTGATCCTTGGCTTGTCTTCTAGGCTGAACAGTACACGGACTACGCTGACGACCCACCCCGCCCATGCAAGCGCGAGCAGGTCCGCGCAGCAACGAAATTAGTGGTCATTGCGAGGATCGCCCTGGAGATCGCTCGAGCCGCTAGAGTGCAACTTAAAGGTTGTGCAGGTTCTGAGAAGAATGTGAGGCAAGATATGGATCCATGCACAGCCGAGCAAACTCAAACAAACATGTAATCCGGACTTAAGATCACACCTGAATTGAAGCTTGTTGGAGCTGATCATTCGCAAATAAAGCAACCTTGCAAAGGCAAGCCGAAGGCAAGCTCTCCTTCAGGCTGAGCATGCCTAAAGCGACTGGTGCCATGACTTGGTGCGGCGTTCTTTGGGGTGCACACTCATACTGCGTGTGTGAGGCTTTCCGACTTCTGTCAGGAGTCTACCATTGTCATGTCCACAGTCGCCCAGCTGCATGATAATAATCAAAACGGCAGGCTTGGCGGGAAAATGAGACTGATGACACATGGGCAGACGCAGCATCTTTGTTCACGAGGGTTTTCGGTCTCCAGTTCAAGACAACTTATGCCATGAAACTCAGAACGCTGGCAGTGTCATGGTGCATTCTGTGACCCGCCTGCTGCTGTGTGACAAAGGGCTATGAGCAGGTGCGTTTGCTGAAATCCGGGGCCAACTGCAGTATCTAGGGGAGCAGAAGAATCAGGGGTAATCTCATTTTGTAGCGAGCCGGTTCGCCCGCCAGGCACTCATGCATTTTCCTATGACTACGAATGTCTGCCCTTTCAGGTGCCATCATCTCACAGAAGCCCGTGCCGCAGGAAAAGCGGAACCGCGCTTTTCGCAGCCTACACCACTAGAGGTGCATAAAGGTCATGAAAAGCAGCGGGGCCGGTTCAGAAAGTGGCCGTCCGTGATTTCGGCGTTTGAGACGCGTGGATGGCCCTGGCGGCTCGGATGGGGCAACTGCAAGCACCAGGAGTAAGAAACTCAAGGACGTACCGCAGTTACCGCTGCACAGCTATTAATCACAAGGCATGCTTGCGCAGTCTGTTGAAAGGTCCTGTGAGATAACAGTTCTGCTGCAAGATTGACAGGCGGCTGGCTGCAAGTACCAGCCTGAACATCGTCTTCCACTGGTTCTTCCACTGGGTTCGTGGGCGATGGCCTCATGCGTGATAGAGTGTGAACCAAAACCGCGACAATTGCGACGATTCAAGTGCCGAACGTCACACAGTGAGGTCATGCTCCGCTCAGAACTCTTGGACAGCCCCACTTCTCATCCTGAGATGCAAACGGCCAGATCCCAGGCTCTCCTGCCAATGGACTTGTCGCTTGCGCTCTGCAAGTTTCAATCACCGACAGTGAGCTACCGGAATCCTATTGGAAACCCCTGGAGGTCTTGTAGTACTGTAGATATTTGAGACTCGGCGGCCTGACGAGCACAAGGCTGCGGATTCTGCACCGATACTTCAGTTGTCTGCATCCGCTTTCATCTGGTTGAGGACTACCCATGGCTCAGGCAGAAGGCCTAGTATTTCAACAAAGTCACGGCAACTGCCTGGCGCTGGCGGTCAACGTCGTCGAAGAAGCTTGGAAGAGTATAGCTGCCAGGAGGCGGCGCCCGTGCTTGCAGCCTGCAAAGCGGTTGCTGCTGCTTGCTGGGTCGATTGATCCAATGCAACATATCTGAAGAAAACCTAGTTAATTCACATTGGCCATCTCTAACAAAAACATACAAATCATCACCGAGCAAACTCAGCGTAAAGTAGCCGGATGCTCTTGCTGGTTGTAAAGTGTCCAAGCAGCAGACATCAGATAGAAGGCATGTCTTCCTTAAACGCCGCCGAAAAAATTATCAGCAATAAAGCAGGAAGAATGGGCATCATGAAGGCGCTAGAACACGGAGCCCAACCTTCACCTTGTCAAACTTGCGGAAAAGCTACCAAGCTAAAACCAGATCAACGCGATTCATCCTTACTGAATCCTTACTGTATTCATGGAGCCGTTTCAACGTAACACATGCCGAGACCCTGATCTGGGCCTTCTCTCCCTCACAGCCTCTTGGGCGTCCTCGGTTCCGTAACACGTTCCATGTGTGTCAGTCGTGGTTATCTTTCTGCGAAGCGCAGCCTTCCAATTTCGTTAGGCAACCCAAGCCTATAGGCAGTCTTGCTCGTGTCAGTCAACCCGACCCATAGCATAGCCTGCCTTACTTTCCCAAGCTGTACTATCGCTGTGCCGACGAACACACTCTGCTCGCTCGATGGTTCAGCGATCAAGCGACAAAGCGACGTAATGCGCACACACACAATGGTTTCCTGGGTTTCCTGAACAACAGCAGAAAGAGCAGGAACCAATGCTGTCGATACGCGGTCGACAAAAACTCACAACGCACGAGCTCCAACTCTTAAAACCCAAGGGATCCGCCCCTTCAAATTACAAGGCCACTGTTCGTGATGCGCACCCTCGCCTCGAAACCGTATTGTTAACCGTCACATGAGCCTTCTGAGCCTCCCACTCCTCGAGGCACTGACCATGCCGATGAGGAAGGCAGCTGCCTTGAAGAGAGCTTTCAGAGCCCTTAAAGTAGTGGGGCACTATTCTCAACTTTGCACTTGAACAACATTACAGACAGAAATTATGTACTCTAAAAAACATGTTACCTATACCATGTTGAGCAATATAGTCTAATATAAGCATAATTTATCTAGTTTACCAGTAATATAGCATAGTCGATGATAGTAGGTTGTAGTATTGAAAAAACTACATCCTGCTTACCAGTAATATATCATAGTAGCTGATAATAGGTTGTATTATAGAAACAATTATAGTCGATTACAGTCTAGTCTAGTCTGTTATAATATATCTCAGTATATCTCAGTATATCTCAGTATATCTCAGTATATCTCAGTATATGATGGAATATTCTAGAACGAAAATGCGTATGATACTGCTACAGCCTACAGGGTTCCTAAATCGGGAGGAAACCTTGGCATGCGCCAAACGCAGCCGAGGCCAGCACACTCGCTTGCACGTGGCGACACCATCCCCAAGCGGGTACTGGCCAGGGCCTGTTCCGGGACGAAAGAGGAAGGGACTCGCCCCCTTCTTCGGAAGAAAATCGGTTACTGTGTTCGCGACTACGGATTTTGTTTGGCCATTGTGACATGAAAAGACGGGCCTTAGTCTTTGAGTTGAGTGCAAGGCTGAAAGTACTCAGGCCCGAGCCAGTGTCAAGATCCTTGTCGACAGCACCTGTCTGTCACGCAACTTTATGGAGGCAAGAGCCCTCTCAGACTGATCAGGCTTGGTTTTACATGTAACGAGTTCAGATGTGAAGAATTGTGGAGTCATCCGATCGGATGAGGAATGCTTCCCAGAAACCAGTTGAGAAAGTGGGCGTCGGGTTGTTGGCCTTACCTCAGAGCCCGGTGTAGCCAGAGGCCGTTTCTTCATCTTGCGCTGCCTCCTCACTTCCTTTTGCTTGTCAGGATTTGAACAGAAGGCTTGACATGGTGGTTCAATGGTGTCCTTATTAGTTGGACTGGGTGGAGAGACTCCGACAGTTTGGCGTTGGGCCAATGTACTCTACGGCTCGAGTGTCTGCTAAACACTGAGACTTCTCCGATGTTGCTCAGGGCTTTCGCGGTGTTTACAGTGCAGCATTTCCTCACGCAACATGTTCGGGTTGATCTGAAGCATGGGCCGTCTCTTGCCTAAACTAGAATAAGGAAGAATCTGACCAATAATGCTCGAGTCACAAGAGTCACTACATAGAGTATACGCAAGACACCCCAACAAGGCCCACGATTTAGATCAGCCTGTCTCTCACAACTCACAACCATGTCGGGGGTGCCCACGATGCCTTTCATGACGCCCGTGCGCTTGTGGGTGCGGATCTGGTCAGGAGAGCAGAGCGGCAGACCCATACTGAGTAAGAGTATATAGTAGCTCGCACTGTGTGGGCTCTGGGCATCACCTCGTGGGCGAAGGTAAACGTTGGCGCAGAGAGCGCAGCACTGAGCTTCCTCAATTTGTCAGCTTTGGGGTCATCTTGCTTTACAATATATCATGAGCGCAGGGTGGGCTTCCTTCAATTCCTTTCAGCAAGTGCGGTTTGGAAAAGAAATCGCTCGGTCAAAAGCTCTAAGGGCTGCGCCCTTTGCGCACTTCCGCCGTTGAATCAACAACGAAATCACCTGGGAGATTTGAAGTGTCTGCACGAGTGGGACGGAACGAGTTGGCAGCGACAGTAGTACGTAACACACTGGCATGCCCCATCGTATTGCCACTTGGTTGCGATCGATCTTGTACTGCCCAGGCTCCAAATGCCTGACTGCAAAACCCACAAGATATCCTGTGGTGCCCACCGCACTCTAGATTACACTGAAGGGAGCTTGCCCCAAGCAGAACCATTTGCACCGGCTGAAAAAAAACGAAGCGCAAGTGTCTCTTTGAGAAAATGTTCGGCCACCCGAAAGATCAACATGCCAGCAAGTCTGGGCCGCAGTTGCCCCGACTTTGTCGGTAAACCACGTCTCGTTCCAACCTGACCCAAGGTGAAAGGTTGCATCGTCAGTGCAGCCTAGACATCTTTCCATGAACATCCTAACCCTGTTTTCCTGCTCTCCGGAGCCTTAGCTGCAAGGACCCCGCATGCTAAGCCAACGACTAATGGTCCATTCCGGCGACTTGCGCTTGTCTCCCAGTTTGTCTAGGTACCTGCAGAACGGATACAAATTGAAACTAGGGATGGGCAAACAAGGAAGCAAACCTGAAAGTGCATGAAGCATTCGATTCTTCTTCCTTGGAATGCCCTAGAGGAGTCGGCCAAGACGGGCAGCGGACGCTCGCAACTCGAGGAGATCTGGATCCTTCGAGTTCAGCATGGCAAAGGATGGTACAGGCAAGCTAAGCTCAGCCGAGCTCAGCAGCCTGCTGCTCTCACCTATGTGGTGCTGGTTGATTGTATATGGCGGTGTAAACCTGCGTGAAGGCGCGTCAGGAAGTGCAGCTGGTTTTTGCTGCTGCTTGCTCTGGCGGGTCCGTCACAGCGAAATGTGCAACAAATTACACCAACCTGTACAAAAAACACCTAAACCCATGCTGAGATGTCGGCTTTGCATTGTCGACTGCCTTCATCAAAGTTCATGCAAAGTCCTGACAAACCTACGGCAAGTCTTGGAAAGTTGGGCCAAAATCAGCAGGGCGTCAACTGCACCTCTAAATTGGTGAGGTCCTTGTGAGGGGTGGCAACTTGGTGACCAGCTTCTACCGAATAGGCAGACATTTCAGCAAGCACTTCCCACCCCTAGGGCCATGCCACGCGGGTATGCGTGGCTGCATCGTTCCCTGAAGATGTGTATATGGTCAGCAATGGGTGTTGTGGGCACCTGCGGGAAAGTGCCCGTTGTGCTCCATACGTTGCACCCTGTCTTCCACGCCGCAGTTGAAGCTAAGAGTTCTACTACTTGCAAAGCAGGCAGCGGCACATGTTGAAGCTGCAGCTTTGTCGGAATTTGGCTGTGAGCTTGACCGTGAACTGTTTTGTGTTTTTTGTTGTCACAAAACACGGCATCTGCACGGTCCGACTTTTTACAGCTGCTGCGAAGATCGGAGAAATCTAACAGCACGAAGGATATGCTAGCCCATCTAAGATGAGGTGTTTCCTCTTTATCCAATCATGCCGCTCGGCAGCAGATCGAAAAGATATACCGTATGAGTCGCCAGGGGCAAGTTCGCGACCAGGCCCCACCTGTACCTACGTTCGGCTGCTTACCGATTGTCTGCATAACTGCAGTCGACATTATGATTACGCCGGTTTACGCACCGCATGTATTGCAAATAGTCCTGCTTACATACATTGCTTTGTTGCGCGGTGTCGCGCAGCCATGATCGGCATGCAGCCGCAGGCTCTCAATTTCAGCCGCGCCCTCTCATCCGGCTGAGTCTTGTTGCAAGTTGCGTGCAGGCCAGAGTCCCGCGGCGGAGCGTGGCTGCGCTAATGCTATCGAGTTACAGCTTTGGACGAATCGTATCGTAGAGCAGTAGCTGCACCGTAACAATTAGGGTCATTTGGAAGATGCGAGTTTGCCAGCCAGAGAACAAGCCTGTAATACCCAGCCGTTTTGTTGCGTCACGCATTTGCTGCCAAACACTTGGTGGCTTGTCATCCCAGAACGTGTCACTGTCCATGTCTACAGGACACTCGCCTGACCCTCCCTCTACAGAGATGCAGGTGAATACCGTATCTGCAGGTTGGGACGCCAGTGTTGCCGCTGTCGCGGCACCAAAGGCTGCCAGAACTTTAGCAAGCAAGGGGTTGACAAAGAGACTGCAGAAGCCGGACATCGTGTCGTAGGTGACGAGCTTCGCAACTGTGTATGAACATTGCTTCATTAGCAAAGGCACCAAAGCCCCATACCAGCCAATCCACACGCCATGGTCACTGCGAAGTTGCTGCAATGCCAGCCATGTGTTGAGACCGAACCTGGTCAGAATCCTTAGCTTGCCAGGCACAGCCTCAAGACTCATGCAGGTGTTAAAAGAACAATCAAGAGAACCGAAAACCTTGCAACCATTTGAAAACCCTGCAACCCTAAAGTCTCTAAACGCCCATAAACTCTCATTCAATTCCGGCAAGGGGATCGCCCAGCATGCATCATGAATCGTATGTCTCAGGTCAGGTAAAAGCCTCGAAATCAAGCGCTGGCTCACCCTAACTTTAGGAAACTCCTCCCCATTTTAGTATCCACCCAGGATCGGCCGAGAGCAAGCTGTGCCCAAAGAGCATGAAAGCTGCCAAGATTTGATGGGAAAAGTTGAAATAAAAGGGCCGGCTGGCTCCACAAGCCTATTCTTTTCTTGCCCCGACCTGGATGGTGACGGTGACGTGCGTCGGCCGGTGTTTGGATGTGTTTGTGCATATCTGTGAGTATGCATATGTGTGTGTGTGTGCATGCAAAAAGACATAAGATGTGTCCATGTGTATGTGCATTGTGGCGCGTGTCGATAAAGGCAGCACGCCATAAATTCAATGGCACATTGTGTCTCTTTGTGTGGCCGTGTGTCTGTGTACGTGTGTCTGTGTACGTGTGTCTCTGTGTGTGTGTCGGTGTGTCGGTGTGTCGGTGTGTCGGTGTGTCGGTGTGTCGGTGTGTCGGTGTGTCGGTGTGTCGGTGTGTCGGTGTGTCGGTGTGTCGGTGTGTCGGTGTGTCGGTGTGTCGGTGTGTCGGTGTGTCGGTGTGTCGGTGTGTCGGTGTGCGGTGCGGGTGGCGGGGCACGGGCCCGGGCGGCGGGACGGCGCCAGGACGGGTGGGGCAGGCAAGAAAAGCAAGAACCCCACGTAGTGATGTCGAGAATTATAGCAGAAAGGGGCTTCTCCTCATGGTGCAGCAGAGCTTCTGGTGGATTCCATGCAGCCCCCTCTTTTGCTGCTTACAAAAACGCTCGTATGCCTGTCTGGTTGGCTCCATGAACGATGGATCCGCGACTAGCATTATTCTTGCTGCCTCAGCCGGACACAATACAACAGTTGCCAGCATCTCCGCCAGAAGGGCGCTCACGCACAGCAAACAAATGTGCCCAGATATGGAGACAACCTGATGAATTCGAAAGATCGATTTCCACATTTCAAAGAGGCCATACTTAAAGGCACCATGAAGGAAGTAACCTGTAAATGTCGCGCCTACCCCACTGAGCAGCTTCTGTGGCCCGTGTGACTTCACGAGCTTCATCGCCATCTCAAACGTACCCGGGCATTGGCCTTCTCTCTCCTCTGTTGCCTGCTGCGACGTCTTAATGACGTCAATCGGCGTCGCCAGTACATGCGAGAAGCTTGAGCAAAGGCCACCAGCCACGAAGAAGCCTAAGGGGCCCAACGCTGCTAGCAAACTTGATGGAGAGATGGGTACCGCTCCCATGACAATGTTCTCTGGCTTCCTGCCACCTGTTTTTTCAGAAGATCTGCTGGGGTAGGTTGGTGGTCTGCTAGGCCTTTGCGGCCTTGGCCGTACCTGTGTTGCTGCTGTGGCCCCATGGCCCGAGACAAACGAGACAAACGCGTCCTGTGCCGAAGACGCTGAGAGCATGGATCCCGCCACGAGCAGCAAAGCGAGGGAAGCCAAGCTGCTCGACCGACATCTAAGCGGCAACTTGGGCCCCTCTACCGCCTCTACCCGCACACGGGTGCCTGATGTGTGAAGTCTGCGGCAGGTGGTATGCCCCCACCTGCGCCTGTTTACGGAGTCCATGGCGCTCGGCCGCATGAGAGCCTTGATCGAAGAGCTGATCATCGCAAATCTGTCTAGGACCTAAAATGTGCGATCATGCTCACCGTTGTGTGAGTTGTCTGTGCTGCGATGGTATAGTCTGACCCAACGTCGTCCGCAGCATTCCGAACAGGAAGTGGAAGCTTGAGCTACCTGCTGTCTGCTTGCTGCATGAGGATGCCCGTGAGCTACGTATGTGTTATGCCAAGTGTCACCAAGGCGATCTGCATGGATCTGCTGAGTGTGCATGAATGCGGCTGTTCCATGTCAGGCGGCTGGGTGAAACGTGTGCCCTTGCTGCAAGCTCAAGGGCAGCGGCTGCGCGGCAGGCTCAGTGCAGTTCAAACTGCTTGCCCACAAACATGCATCGCTAGGAATCACTACGGTCATCGACGGCACGAAATCTGCCCTTGTAGTATCTACTAGATTCTAGATACTGCCAAAGCATGGGAAGGAATTGGTTGCGACGTCTCCAGCCTCGTGCGCTTGCGATCCCGCGGAGGTGAGATTTAGTGCAGTCCAGGGTGCATTCAACACATACGACTGGAAGACATGCTGCAGAGGCCCGAGTGCTTGGCTTGTGTGTTTCCCCCGGTTGAGTGGAAACCTTGCGACCAAGCAATTCTTAAACTAAACCTTCAAACTGAAAGCGCGGCTCTTGATTTGGGCTTACTGCAGCTGAGATGGACCGGCTGTCTTTCCAACAGGGCCCCGGCCAGTATGGCCAGTAAAGCCATTCGCACCTGCCACATGGACGAATTGAATTCTGCTGTGCGAACATGGCATGGGAAACTCATGGAAAACTCTGAACAACAGTTTTGGTGAGTAATGCACCTCCTCCCGCATCTGATGCTCTGCGCTTTTCAGGGTCGGAGAGGGTCTGGCACAGGTTGGCTTCAGCTCTCCCAATGCTTCTAGGACAGATTGGCCGTAGCTGAGAGATGCTCAGAGGACACCTCGTAGGCATTTGCCACCTCTGTGAAGCGCTTCTGAGCCTGAACCGATTCGAACCGGGAGGGGGTGAAGGCGCTTTAGGGCAGAGGGCTGCAAGGGTCCAGGGGCGAGTTGCAGGCAAGGTAGCGATGTTCGGGGTTTTGGCGCTTTGCATTCGGGGGTTATAGGGGTGTATGTGGCTGAGGAGGTCAGGCTGCACCGGCAAAGATTCCATCCGGGATGTCTGTATTGACACCCACTTCTCATGGAGAGCACCGGTTGCAGAATGGATTGCAATGGGGTGTTCTGTTGGCGGTGACCGTGCTTTGGCGTCAGCGTGGATAACACCCAAATCGATGCACGCTCCGTACTCCTGTCCTGAACACAGACACCACGACGTGCGCCGAAATGTTGCTATTGGAATGTTGTGGATGCTAGCAGCCCAACGATTGCTGCAGCACCGCCTCAGGAGGGATCCTAAGGTTACTCAGAAGAACAAACCCCCTGCAGGAACATTCTGCTGGAACAGCGACACGCGCCTCCTCTCGCTTCTCAGGCGGTTGTCTGTCAGGATGCCACTTCATGGCCTGGCTGCCAATCGTTTCAACAAAACCTAAGAACACCTGTATTCAAGACAGAAGTGGCCTAAACAAATCTTGGAAGGAAACCCGACAGTAAACCTTATAAGTTCCTTACTTGTTCTCATGTTGAGGCGCTTTGCTTTGGTTTGATTCCGGCCTCTTTCTTGTAGGCTTTCTTGATCTCCTCCGGCGTGGCGTTGCGGCCGATGCCGAGAATCCTCAGACTCAAACGTTCACGCAAGTCCGGCTCGGAGCAGCTCAGAGACTGGACTATATTTTTTCTATACTTTGTCCCTGCTAGTGCCTTCACGGTGATCGGTAGCCAGTCGTGCTCACCTGGAGTTGACTTGCAACCAAGGCTCTTGTAAGGATCATCTGATCTGGAGGACGATGAGAAGCTCCTATTTAATTCTTTCGATGCTTTGACAGGTCCCTCGCTTCCAGGAGCCCACTGAGAAATAGTCAAAGCACAGGCTCATCTGAAGTTCGTTGTTGGGTCTCATGGTCAACATTGTCTTCGACGCGTCCGAAGATGAGGGACATGAGGATCACATCGTTTAACACGCCCAATCTTCAGGAGAGCACGGTCTTGGTGATGCATGATATGGGTATTTCCCAAAATTGGGGCACCCCCTTTAATTTCCCAAAAAGAAAAGAATCCCCTTAAATGGACCCCCAAAAAGGGTACCCCTATTCCTATTTTCGGAAAGCCAAAAATTTGAAACAACCATCTCGATTCTCGGATTCTCGGGCCCTGCTCTCGGGCAACGTTGTGTTCACTGGTCAACTTGCTGTTGGAGCTCGCATCTCTCTTGATGGACATCAAACATGACTGTGTCCGACAAACCCAGTGGGAGCCCATGAAGCTTGGCAGCTTCGTCGGTCTGCGGTGTGGCTAAGGCGAAATCTTCCAAAGGGTTACCCTCTGAGAAACAGTGATTGCATCGGTCATTGCCTGCGAGGTTGGGGGTTGCGCTGTGTCTTGATTCCGGATGTTCACCGTGGACGGAAGATCCCGTGGACCCTGCATGTGGCCACGTATTTCGTCAGTGTACCACGTGCCTGTCTGTACGTTGTTCAGAGACTGACCTGGCGCCCCCCCCCCCCCCCCCACACCTAAACCCCGCCCTGACCCTAAATGCTTCAAAGCCATCTTCGCGTGCAACTTTGAGCTGCGGGCCCGAGAACCTCCCCTTTCCCTCCCCATCCACCCCCCCTGCACCAATATTGCTTTTCTGACCCTTCCGCGAAAGTTCGCAAACCCACACCACTCCCTGGTCAGCTGCAACAGACAAAGGTGCTGCGATTCTCCTGCAAGCGCCAAGTCCAAGGGGCGGAAGGCCAGAAGTCACTCCTTGCATGGGGTTGACACTCTCTAATCACTCAGGCTCATGGGCTCATGGTTCCCTTATTGAAAGCCATTGCAGGCACCCAACCTCTCAGCCCCATGCTGGACTCCGCACCCAGCTTATGCCTTGGGAGGACCTGTCCAAAGACTGCAGATTTGCTGTAGGGGTCTACATTCGGTTGTTTTACACATGAGGAAGACGGACTTTCTAGGATGTGTGAGGCTGAGGTCGCTAGCAGTCGCTACCTCCTCCCCGGCTTGAGGCCATCTGACTGTGCCGACCACAGAACACAGTATGGCACCAGGAATGTCAATGCAGTGCTTGACTTGACTTGAACACAGTAGCACTTCAGGTCTGCTTTAACGTCTGTAGCAGGAAAGGAAAGAGCAAGACTCAGACCCATCGTCACATAGTTCTACCCACAATGGCCCTCCGGTCTGCGGGAGCTGCCAAGCAGAACCCCATATCGTGACGGCGGCGCTTTCGTACGCTTTCGCACTCGGTCTCACACTAACTTGTTTACCCATCTTTTCAAGACCACAATAAACAGCCATATTTTCTGGAAACTATCCTCAGAAAGAGTCAGAAGCTAGTTGAATTCCCACTGGCCACCCGAAGTTTCCATTACATTCCTTACGACTGACGGGTGCTAAACGTCTAACTCTCATTCTTACTTGAGTAGCCTACGATAGGCTCTTAGATGGCTGGGCCGCTGGCGCAAAGGCTGGAAGTGAAGCCTGGCAAGGAGCACTGGAGCACCCCGGTTGTCAAAGCGTGGCCTTGAAACCTTGTGCAGTGATCTGCGGCAAGGCTAAATTTTAAAATTAAAAAGTCACATCAAACAGCAGGCCCTAAAGCCGGAACTCCCGAATGTCCTGCATTCCTGCACTTTGCTTTCAGCATGGCTCCTCTATGTGAGAGATGGCAAGCTTGAGCTCGGGATACTAGGCGCTGCCAAAGCCTCGATGGAGCTTGAACATGACTTTGGGACGTCAGGGGGTCGCCAGTGGCCGAGGGCTTAGGATTTAGAAGATGGTTTAGGGCAAGTTTAGGGGAGATTCTTTGAGGGACCTGGACAAGACGTATACCTAAGTGCAACTTCTGAAACAATGTCGTCGAAGCTTGGTGGGTGGCATGCTTGGTGCTCGGTGGGTGCTGGCCATGCTGGGAAAGCTGAGCCGAAGCCTACGATGCTGCTGCTTGTGCTGTAGTGAAGTGTGGGCTGCTGAAAATATCACATGTGATCCTTCTTGTGTAGAGTGGAGTCTGGCTCACATGCTGCTGGTTTGAGCAGGTGAGCTCATCTGCTGCGTCATACTTCTTGGTAGACCATGCTCGCCGCAGCCGTTTGAGCTTTTCGAGATCAGGCTCTGCGTGCTTGCAGCTCATGCATGTTGAGATATCAAGGCTGCCGAGTCGATGCTGGAGCCTGCGCCACGCCCTGAAAGGTCGCAAGCATCTCCAGCACATCGCTGTGCTTCTGTAGTTACCGTCGCAAGACTCTTCAGTACAACTGAGATGCTGTCTCTCTGAAGACTGTGACTACAGCAAGCCTCTGTGAGGGTCCAACGGTGGAATTGCTTCCCGATTGCTCGCGCCACATGCGCTGAACAATCCAAGCCGGCACACTGCAACAGTCATAGAAGGCGCAAGTGATGGTTAGGGGGTAGGGGGGTAGGGCAGGGGATGGGAAAGGGGCCTTTCACAAGGGGAGGGGTAGGTGCCTTAGTAAGTCGGTGGAGGGTAGGTGTAGGGGGTAGGGAGTAGGGCATGAGAGGCTCAAACCAGAGCTGAACCTCATTGGCTTGATTTTCAACCGACCCTGCTTCTGCACGCCTATCATTGGTGAAACGCTGCTGCCTTCGCTGCAACAGCAAACCGACCAGCTAACAAACGCGAAATGTAAAACTCTCTCACAGCTTGTGGAAGCTAGCACCGCTTCCGCCTGACCGGCAGTGCATCCCCCTATTCTCATGCTGTTCTCTTTGTCGTCGCAGGTAGTCTAGAACTCGCGCCAAGGTGGCAGGAGTTGTGACTCATGTCGCATGGCGCGTACGTACGGGCCACTTCTGGCGCCCAGCTGGCCTGGCAGTTGTCAACGACATTGTTACCGCCAGAGCTGCAGTGAGCACAGCAACTGCCGTCACGTACCTGCACGGCTATGAACTGGTTATCAAGCACCAACTCATCACTTTTTTTTCTTCAGGCTTTAGCCGGCTTTGTGGTGGCAACCTGAAGTCCAAAGGCGCACGGCCAGTGCCTTGACGTTTCCGGAGTCTGTGTGCACCTGCTTTGCAAAGCTGCAACAAGCTCACCATGGAGACCGCACCTTCGACATAAATGAGAGGGCCTAGACTGAGGCTCTACGGACCCTCGTGCCTACGTGCATGGCATGAGCACCTGAGACGGTTGCAAGACTCGCTCTTCCTACCTTTCTTGCACCTGACACGCTGGCAGAAAGGTTGTCCCTTCGGGACAGCTTCGACTGGATGCAGCTAATTTTCATTAGCACGCAAACGCAACCAACATGCTGCGTTAGCCACGCTTGACCCGTGACGGGCCGCACGTCTAAAGAATTAGGCGGACCATGGCAAAGGCACATGTATCCAACACACTCGTCACTAGCTCAACGTAGCTCATAAGTCCATGAGTTTACGTTTCTGTTTGCAGCTGTTTAGCATCCCGAGGATTGGAGGCCGCTCATGGTCAGCGCCAGTCGGATATAGACAGACATGAGAAACCAAGACGTCAACTGACCCGCACTGCCTGGACAGCCGGCAGAAGTGTCAGAAACCTTACCCTGACTGAGTTGCACGTTGCAACGGCGTGCTGGCCGAAGATCTGGCTAGTCCGACTTGCGTGTTTCAGATAGAGGTGTGGTCTGGCGCCTCCTTTGTCTGCTTAACAGAACCTAGGGCCCTCCGACCGGAGACCTCGTAGTCCCACGTCCCGAGCTTCTTGAACAGAGAGGTAAAATCACCGTCGACGCGATCACGGCAGATGCCTAAGGCATCGCCGATATGCTCTCGCAGGACCTTGTCAATCTTCTCAAAGCTGTCCATTTCCTGCCTTGAATGCAGAACTGCAGACGCGGCACATCAACGAAAACACTGGGGACTGAGTCACGTTCTACATATTTTTAAGCCCTTTTGGAGGATAAAAAAAAGAAGCCCAGTGCTTGCATTACACGTAAGCTTTACACACACAAATCGCGAGATCACACGACGGGTGTCATGCATGACAGCCTAACCCAGCTCGCGAGGGATTTTCCGCACATAGAAGTTGCCGGGGTGGACAAAACGAGGGGAAGAACGGGAAGAACCTGTACTGTACAAGCTGTCGTCTGGGTTTGGTTGCGAAGGCCATCTCGCAGACAAGGAGGGGCAGGACTTGCATGCAAGGAGGCGATGGCTTGGCAAGGCCAACACATCTCACACGGCGATCGCGGATGGCAAAATGCCAAGCTCAGCTCCTAGGTCGCAAGTTTTTCCTTGCAAGCCTCCCCCTCCTGCGTGCCTTTCGATTCCGAGAACTTGTTCTTGTTGGCGTGGAACCTCGTGCAGGCAGACTCCGGCTGCAATTTCTTGGACCTGTGGAAATGCAAATGCGTGAGCAAGACTTGCGCCCCGAGTGGTCCAAGGCCGCCCCTGAGGGCCTGCGGAATGGCGGACCGACAGAGTGCACAGCGACAGAATGACAGTGGAGGATCCCAGCATGAGCACTGTGGTGATCACGAGCCCGTTGGATACGGGATGGGCTTGCGCCCGTAGTTCATGCGGCGCGCTCTGGCAGCACGTGCCGGTTGCCTCTGTGGGGGGGGGGGGGGGCCGGCGGAAGGCAGTTGTCAAGTCGTCGCCCTGGGCTCGGGCAGAACCCGCAAAATCCTCAAAGGCTGAGTCTTGATGAGAATTTGGTTACAGGTTGCCAACTCCAGTACGAAGAGTCCTGCCAGCGGAATCGACACTGAAGGTCATGGCTCCAAACGCCACATGGAGGCCACCCAGCGCACACCCGGCCATGGCTGGGAGGAGCCTGGCATGCTTTGGCTCGGCATTCGAGTCTCCCGTTGTCGCCCTGGACCAACTGATGGCAAGGCATCGTGGCACGGTTTGATAGGATGGCATGACAGCATTGATGGCAAGGCGGGGTGGCGCAGCGTGATGGCTCACCCTTAAAACAACCCAGACCCCCTCGTCTCCCTTGGTCGCTCGTCTCGGGTGGGATCCGGTTGGGATTGCTCATGATGTTCTGCGCCAGATGGGGCGCATTCGCAAAGCAGTTCTGAAGCATACCTTCAGGCTGATCGGACACACTCACTGAGATGTCTCGGCTTAGGAAAGCTTCCCGTTTTGTTTGGTCGCTTCGCGCTCTCGCCAGCAGTCCCGCAGTTGCCTTCGTTAGCCGTGTGGTCATGCGCACTTTGGTGTTGCCAGACAAAATTGTCGCCTATGACCTTTACAGGTACGTGTCTTTGTGACACCAGCAAAGGACATGTTCTTTCATGGTCCTTCTTCCCTTCTAGCTCGACTACGTGACAGGGTGGAGCTTTCGTTTTCGTCGGCCCGAGACGAGAACATCGTTTCGGGGGTCTGGCCATCCGCTTGCGCCATCCTGCTGTGCTAGCGCGAGTTCCATCAATGCACTGACCCAACTTTTTATGCACAAACATGCTTTATTCGGAGATTCGTGAAGGGTTCTGCACCCGTTCTGAGAGAAGTGTGTCGAATGTCCGCTGATTCGGAAGCCTTGGCTCCAGGAGCATCTCTTTGTGAACTTTCTGCCCAGAATAGAGGGTGGACTCGGTGACGTTGGCTCAGTAGGGCTCAGTCGCCAATTTTGTCCTCTCGCGGCACCCTAGTATTGCAAAGAACGGTGTCCTCCGAAGTTTGCGAGTGCAGCTGCGCGGCAGCCCACAGCATCGCCTCCGGCTCGGTCGCTTCCGACTGCGTCGCTTCCATGCTTGGGAAAGGGCCACCAAGGAGGACAGGGTACAAACGAGTTCAGACCTGACAGGTCTCGGGCCTCAGACTCTCGCACCTTTTGTCACCATCCCAAACACTTAAAGGCATTGAGCTTCCCCTTCTACTCTTTAGCAGAAGTGGCCACTGTGTCTTGCCCAAGTTGCAGCACAAGCCCCGTAATCATGTTCTTGTCCTAAGCAAATGAGGCGGGCACTTCACGCTGCAGACAGAGACGCGAAGCCCAAACACGGATCGACATGCAAAATGACTGCTAAGAGCTACTTTAAGCTGCTACACAAGCATATACAAGCGTTAAACGGTCATGCTAGCGTCCTGTTCCGTGGTTGCTTCTGCATCCTCCAGGCTGAGCGTTGACAAGCGCTCACCAATTTGCATTGACATCTCCACGGTTGATGCCCCGAAATTCAAGACCTCGGCTCCAGCGCCCGCATTCGAGCCGGGGAATTCTCTCCCCGACCGGAGACACTGCGACGGCAGCTGAACAAATCTGGATTCGGTTGGGTTGCGCCGTTCTCTGTGCAGAACAGCAAGCCCTTGAAACCCACCTGGAGACGCTTGGCTAGGGCATGTGCTGCCTGACGGCTACTGCTACAGAGTTCAGCTTATGCTGCCGCTTCCGGTATGACCAGCGTAGTCAGCGCAGTCATGGCCCTCTTCTACAGGTAACGTGAAACGCCCCAAGGCCTGGGTTGCTTCCAGGCTGATGGTCTGTAGCAACTCGAAAAGGCACCATGACCTGCAGGTGCAAGAGCTCAAATTGTTGAAGCCGCTGAATTACTGAAGCTTCTTGACTGTTCCTTCCCACGCCGTGCTGCGGATTAGTGCTTATCAGGAATTGCGCGGTAGCCAGAACGACTGGCAGATGTGAGTACTGCAGCCGCTCTCTCTTTGTAATTAAGTGGTGGTTCATGGGCCACCGTAGCCGCCATAGCAAAGGGTAATTCAAGGAGGTAAGCTACTTTAAAATCCTTAACCCCTGCCCGAGGCAATCGGTGTGCAAGTTAGGCCTTTTCAAAGGCATCGCCATCTCGTCTAGGATCATGCAAGTGCCTGACAGAAGTCGATGGCACGATTCTGAGCTGAAATTCGATCAGTGCAGCAACTACAGCTGTCGCATGATACAGTTCCACCCCACTCGCGAAAGCCACTCATCTTTAGCTTTGCACCCAGAGTGTCTCGGCCTCTGCAGATTCCACTGTGAAGGGCTAGGTAGAACGAGGATTCCTTGTGGGAGCTACCAAGCTCCTGAAGGCGACTGAGTGTCTGACACTCGTTGAGTCATGGCACTGACCTGTTCAGGGCTCCTCTTTGATCTGGTACTGGTTGTTGGAGAAAGTGCCTAAGGTGAGCAAATGTGGGGCCTGTGCGGCTTGAGGGTGCGCCCATGCAGCACCGCGTATGATCAAACATCGTGCTCTCTAAATCTAAAGGTCAGTGACTGAGTGCCCAACATATCCAGTAGCTCGTGGCACCCCATGTCACGTCGTCTGCCGTATCACAGACCGCTTTTGCGTGCCGCTGTAAGGCCCTGCAGTACACATAGTATGGGGTACCCCACCAGTGGCTCACCTGCAGTGCAAACATGCAAGGATACTACAAAAGCGCTTCAACGCGGTGATATGCGCATGCTCAAGCAGCACATCACACACACACACACACACACACACACACACACACACTCGAACAAAGTAGGAAGCGCAGAGGGAGGTGTGCACTTCGCAAGACTTCGTAAGTCGCAAGGGCATATGTGCAGACAGACGACACATCAGACAATTTCAAGCATGCACTGGTGGAATGTGTACAAACGCACTAGCAGGAGCTGCCACGAAGCGCCGAACGGAAAAGTGCTGTGACAGCGGCGTTGACGTGAGGAATCCTAAACAAGGACATGCCAGCCTTCTTGAGGGCAGGCGGTTTGGTGCCCAGCGCGTTTTGTTCATACATGACACGGCTGCATTGAAAGCCTACCGAGCCTTCGCTGGCCAAAGGCTGCCTCTGAAAGAGTGCAGGATTTCGGGCTACAGGGGCTTGTAAGGCTCCTTAAGCCCTACAGTCAACATCCCTAAGCCCACAAGACACACAGCCCCGGCAAGGCTGGAAGGCGACAGCTTTCGAGGAGCCGCCAGGCATTCTTGGTAAGCTGAGGGATGGTAAGATGTGGCACGCACGGGCAAGCAAACCCGACCCGGCTGAGCAAAATGGAGGCGGGCGAAGAGTTTAGGGTGAAGAGTGAACGTTTTCCAGATGCCTTCGGCACCTGATACACACCAATCACCAAAAACTCTAAATGCAATGCCATGGCCATGCGCGTTGTGCGTCCTGTTTTCGTCTCAGACCAGCACCCTCGCGTCCGGAAGCAAATGCAAGGGTGGAAAACTGTTCACTGAATCCTGTAGGACAGATGGCAAAACCCTTGAGCACTCAATTGCCCGGCAGAGTGGCAAACCATTGCACCTTTTGTGGGCCGACCTTGGCAAAGTTGATGCGAGCTCACATGAGCTCTCGTTTTCATGGTGAACGCTGGATGCACATAAAGGCCTAGAGACAGCCGGTCCGTCGGATTCTGCAGTTATCGAGGTGGGGACTATTGAGTGTTGTCATAGCTCCGTGACATGCGAGTACGTGTAGGTGAGATTCTGTGAGATGCAACAAGAGGGCTTTACCAGCCTTTGTCGGAGCCGCAACCCCCTTTGTAAGAACGCCTGAAGATCTGCTTTAAGAAAGTCTTTGCCAGTCAGGCTGCTAGTTCTGCATAGGAGAGCTTGTGGTTCTTTGTCAGCCGTCTCAAGATGTTGGGGTCGATGTAGTACATGTTTCCTGAGAGTACCACAAGTTGTCCGATGGACACGAGCTCGGAAATCGCTGGCAGGCTAAAAAAACTCTTTAGACCCTGGATCGTGAGGCGACACAAGCTATGACATTCTCAACCACGCGCAGGATGTGTACACATGCGCAACAAGTCAGATGGCCTAGAAAGCTTCGAGATCTGCTGATTGTTGCAACCGTGCAGCTGTCCTTGATGAATGCACCGAACTTGTCATATAGCTCCTCTCAAGAGCCATGTGCGCATGAAGCTTCTTACTTCAACATACGCCACCCATGTACCTCATCACTCTATGGGCCTTATGGCCTCTTGCAGTTGCAGCTGCGCATTCGAACATCAAAACGTGCTAACTGCTAACGATTATGAATGAGCCAAGCTGCAACGACATCCCTCACCTGGATTGCGCAGGTCTGCACAAGTCTCAGAAGCACTCTCAGCCGGGCTAGCCACTTGCATCACACCTGATGACAGCACGATGTCAAAGAAACGACAAGACCACTCTGGAATCAACCCATCCGGAGCACTAGCTTGCTTTCGTCTGATTCTTGAAGGAGCTTAGTGAAAAAGACTTTTCTGGACAGTGGAGATGAGTGTGCTCGAAAGACTACGTCCGTCAATACTTGGTATGGCCTGAAACATGTCAATCTCGCAAGCCCTACACCCCAGACCATCTTCAACAACCTTTTTTTTCAGGCGAGCGACGGCAATGGCACGATCCGGACCTTTTTTGCAGGCCTTGGGATGAGGGTTCCGCTTCTTGAGCTCCTGAGAGAAGCGCTCGAGCCGTCTTGTTAACCTTTGCTGCGTAGATGGGAAAAGCATGTGGGTACACACACATATAATTACACATGCATTCAAATATGCTAGCACGCACGAGCGTGCACTCATTAACCCTTACAAAGAGCTTCTGCCTAAACTGGCTCTTCTGTCCGCTTTCGCTTCTGACTTCGGTCATTCCCGTTGATCCATGCAAACACAGGTCAAACTTCAAACCGAGACCGCAAAGGTAGTGCACGACTCCATTCTCTCACGTCGCCTCCAAGTCACGAGCTAGAGGTTCGCAGCACAAAGCGCCAAATCACGGTGATGCCAAGGGCGAAAATGAGCGGAAGCAGCAAGAACTGGGCAGGAAGCGGGTGCACTCAACTCTCTCTCGCTCTCTCTTCTTCTGCTTCTTCTTCTTCTTCATCTTCTTCCCAGCGAAGGGCCCCCCCCCCGGCTCTCTCTTTTCTTCTTCTTCTTCTTCTTCTTCTTCTTCTTCTTCTTCTTCTTCTTCTTCTTCTTCTTCTACTACCCAGCGAAGAGGCAGCCCCGACTCTGTCTCTGTCTCTCTCCCTCTCTCCCTCTCTCCCTCTCTCCCTCTCTCCCTCTCTCCCTCTCTCATGCCCTCTCTTCCCCTGCATCCCTCTCCCGGTCCCTCTCTCCCTCTCATCCCTCTCTCCTCTCTTCCCTCTCAGTCCCTCTCTCCCTCCGCTCCCTTCTCTCCCTTCTCTCCCTCGCCCTCTCAATCCTCTCTCTTCCCTCCTCCCTCTCTTCGCCCTCTCCTCGACCTCTCTCCCTCTCATCACCTCCTCTCCCATCTCTCGCCTCTCTCCCTTCCTTTTCTTCCTTCCAGCGTAAGGTTCTCCCCTCCCTCTCTCCCTCTCTCCCTCTCTCCCTCTCTCCCTCTCTCCCTCTCTCCCTCTCTCCCTCTCTCCCTCTCTCCCTCTCTCCCTTCCTTCCTTCCAGGCGTAAGGTTCCCCCCGAAAGGAGAACCGCCCCAAGGGGCACGCAGGACAGAGTTCGTTCGTCGGTGTGAAATGATGTGACCCCCCCTGTGTGTTGCAGTGGGGGTACGAAAACAGGGTGGAACTCGATCAGCCATGATATGGGAAACATAAGCAACCAAGACTGCGGTATACGAAGCGCGGTTCCCCCAGAACGAAGTGCCCAGCAAAAACGTGCTTTCCCAGATGCCTCTGTTGGGTGGACCTGGGTCTACAGATATGTATCGTGGAGTGGAGTGAAACCGCCCTGAATTGGAGCCGTGGCACTTGATATCACGAAATGTGAAACGTGAGATTCCCCCCACTACGGTTTCGGCAGTGGCTAGGGAAAACGGAGCGCCTATTTTGAAGTTAGAATACTGGTCCAGCAGGATGGCTTGGACAAAAGCGGGTTGAAAGAGTGCCTATTCAATGTCCCCCTCCCCAACAACCGAAGAACCCCCACAATCACCTACCAGCACCCGGGACCCACGAGGGGAGGAAGGACAGGTTGGAATCGTTCCTTCTTATACTTAAAGAAACTGTTATGACCCTCATTTTGCTTCTCACGGCTGCGAAGGTTCAGTTGAAGTGGAAGTGAAAGCAAGGAGGTAGTCGATGGTGAAGGTTGTGTTGCTTCTCGTGGCTGCGAAGGTTCCGTGGTTGAAGTGGAGGTGATATCGTGGTGAAGGGCTGTGTTCATCTGCGCTTTGGTGGGTGCTTTGGTGTCGTCGTCGCCACCCTTCGAATCTGGTTCGCGAGGTCTTCCCATCTTGTCGGCGAGGTCGTGGGAGAGGGTGCCATGCTGGTTGGGTTTGTTGTTGCCATTGTAGCCCCCATATTCGAGCCAACTCGGTCGTGCTCCCTTTTCCTCTTCCTCTGCAGTGGTGGGCGTGCATCGTGGTCCTCTTGTTCCCAGTGGCTGCCTTCTTCTTCTTGCCCCCCATGGCTTTCCCAGTGACGAGTGCCCGACGGTATTTCACATGGCGCACTCTCATGTCTCTGCTCCCACCGAGTGCCCGATGGTGTTTCACACGGTGCACTCCCATATACTGTCATCGGCTTCTTGGTTGTGCGATGTGGTGGTGGAAGAGCTCCTGCTGGGTGTTGTCGCATGTGTTGCATAGCTGAGGGTTGGTGCGATGTTCTCGTCTTGGCGCCCACTGTTGGAGGTGTAGGAGAAGTGGTAGTCGGCGATGTGGTAGTCGAAGTTGTGGCACCCCGATGTAGTTGTATATTCCTCTGTTTCCACCAGGATTTGAGGTGTGGATGTGGTACTGCAGGGCTTATGGGTCCATCATCTCCCGGGTCCACTTGTACTTCTTCATATTCTTCGTCCATTGGTGGGTGGGTTGCTTCTTCATTGGCTCTTGGGTGTTCTTGTCGTCTTGCAGTTTGTCCTCCCTTCTCCCATGGCTTTCGGCTGGGGTGTGGTGGCGATGTCGGTCTTTGTTCCCCTTTTGCCGCCTTGTACGTCTCCCTTTCTCTCATGCTTGGATTGGTCCGTCCAGCGACATCGTTGCCCCCCAAGCCCTCGATGTTCTCCACGCCTTCGTGCCCTTTTCTTTCTTCGTTCAGGTTCTCCCGGTCGTCGTGCTTCACCTTCTCCTTGTGTGCGTCTTCATCGATGTCACGGGTGGGCGAGCTGGCCGATGGTTTTTCACATGGCCTTGCCCCCCTGTCTTTGGTTTTGGTGGCTTCTGCTTCTGATTCGCTTGTGACCCCCCAGTCCGGCTTGTCCAGGTCAAGCGTCTCCCCGTCTTCCATTTGTTCTTCGCGGTGAGGTGATAGGGGTCTCATGACGTTGAGGGTGGCTTGAAACCATTGGGAGATCTCATCCGCGGTTTGTAGGGGAGTTGATGCGCTCGGCAATTTCCTGCACCTGTTGGGGGGTGAGCTGGGTGGCCACCCAGATGATGGCCTTCCCCATGTAGTCCAGCGCCAGGTCGATGGGGTCGATCCCCTCGTCATGCTCCCCCATGGCGGTGGTGCGCGGCGAATCCATGGCGGTTCAGTGTTGGGTGTTGTGAAGGACTGGTAAGGGTGAGGCATGCAGTGGTACAAGGGCAGTGGCCAAGTGCAAGGTCCTGGCAAAGACTGAAAGGCCTGGGCAACATGAATGTTGGGAAAGTAGATTTAGTGCTGTATGCGATGCGCCTCCCTCAGCTCCTTTCGCTCGGCTTTTAAGGTGAAAATCCCTCGAAGCAAAGGCACCTTTCCTGGAATGTCCCCCTGAACGAAAACCTTACAAAGCGGGTAGGGTGGCCGGCGAGAGGTTAAGAGGTTTGAGCCTGCGGCGCGGCTGACTCAAGCCGGGGCTTGGGGGCGGGTTCCTCCCCCCGACTTGAGCCAAAATGGCTACCCCTCTCTCCCTCTCTCCCTCTCTCCCTCTCTCCCTCTCTCCCTCTCTCCCTCTCTCCCTCTCTCCCTCTCTCCCTCTCTCCCTCTCTCCCTCTCTCTCTCTGTCTCTCCCCACCGCAACCCCTCCCAGCTTCAGACGACGTAACGCTGGAAAATCCAAGCAGCGGCTCCGACTTCTCCTGGGACGGGATTGAGAAAGCCGCCTCGAGGTGAACACAGTGAACACCGTGAACACGGTGCATGCGGCGAACAACATGAACACCGTGAGCACCCAGATACACCTAGGCAAAATGCAAGCACATTCCTGCGAATTCGGATGCTGAGGAGCATATGACGCCATACGCGCTCAACAGGACGATGATTTGGGCGAAGAGGGGGAATTTCACCTTTGGCTTTCGTAGCAGGTGCTGGAGCCCAAGGATTTCCGAACACTTGCGCCCGAGCTACCCTAGTAGGCCCTAGTTGTCTTTGGCAAGGCACGCCCAAGATGGTCGAATGCAGCAAGGCACGAAACATTGACAGCCGCAGGAGACCTTGATATGATTGGTTGCACAGTGATGTCTGCTATCAGAGGCAATGCCTCGTGAGCAGAAGCCAGTCGTGTGTTAAACAGCGTTCTGAGCTTTTGTTTTTCGAAAACGTTACGGCACTTTGAGACGAGATTCCCATGGAGCTGTCGGCTCGGAAGTTCAGCGTGTTGCCATCTGCATCAAGCAGCTCCAGTGTGTTCGAGCCTATTGGCCGAGCACGCAATGCAATGCTCTTGGAGTACTGGGTGTCCTCCAGATGGCAGGTGCGATGTTGCACTTTGCAGCTACAGCTACAGTGGGCTACCAAGCACTGCAAAGCACTGCAAAGCACTGCAAAATGAGCAAGAGTCTAACAGGAAGTGGCCGGTGCCCGTGAGCTTCACTGGGATGGACTGCGTCTTCGTGAACACGGTGAGGTTGTGGTAGCCCACCACCGTGACAAGCACGCTGCCAGACTCTTGCGAGATGTCCTCGATGAGTCTCGGTACCCCCTGCACGAAGCCAAATCTCCTTCCGGAAGCACGCACCGGCCAGAAGCAGCTTCGAGAGTTTAACAGGGCTGTATATAGCAATGCTCGAAGAGACTGTATGGATTTGGGATTCGCAGCAAGTCAACAGCTCAGAGTAGTGCAAACAGAGATTTGTATGACCAGCCCTACTTGGCCCTAGCCTAACTCATGAAACAAAAGCTGTTCAAACAGTAATCCGCCAATGTCCCAGGCCTCAGGCGCTTGGGCCACCTGGAGTGAGAGAGCCACCCTCCAGCCACAAGAGTTGTTTTTTGGAGCCACATGTGTTTCTTTGCAGCGGCCAAGCGCCGCCAAAATAGATTCCGAGCTGCTGATCACATCTGAGCTCCCCATTTGCCTTTGGACATTCTGCGGACGGGACCCCTATCGGCCCGGCTCCTTCTGCACCTCTATGGCCCCTCCGCCTGAACCTGCATGGGTCCCACCATAAACCTCCCAGAAACCACTATGGAGCCATGATGGACCATGGACCGACCTCTGGACCGCCTATGGACCTCCTGTAGACCTGCGGACCGTGGACCCCCACCGCGGCGGCGTCCTGGGCCTGAAGGCTTTGGAAAGCTTCTCATGGCACTCGGGGGAGATTTCGGCTTTGTGCCCTTGGATAGAGGCTTCTGGGCTGCAGGGTTCCGCGTCATCACATGCTCAATCGCTAAGGGATGTATTAAGTTGAAGGGCTGGCCGAGCCGAAGCGAGTCAATATCATTCTGCAACTTGCGACTTACAACGTTGCTAACTTTGGGAACCGGACATCAACGACAAGCAGCGCCCTCTGAGAAAAATCCTGGCCCTGTCCTCGAGCCAGAGAATCGGAGACTGGTCGTACATGATAGAAACAACCTCCACAAATGCGGGCCACGCAGGGGAAAAAACACTCTTTCCAACGGATGGCTCTTACCCACAGGGAGCCCGAGGTCGGAGCGACGGAGTGAGCTTGGGTCGTGGCTACGACTACCGCATAGTCAGACTAGCGTCCCTTCGTCTGCCTAAGGCTTGGGTAGATACTGGGCTCTTGGGCTAACTTCTTGAGTCTTTGGCTAACTTCTTGAATCTTTTCCTTACCAGGCGGCAGGGTGCTGACAATGAACAGTAGACAGGTCAGCAGGAACAGATTCCCATCGATAACGCATTCCATTGAGTCCCAGCCCCCAGCAGTCTGGAACATCAGGGGGCACAAATCACAAACGCCATCTCTGTCTCGATCGACTTCTCGGCGTGGACACAAGAAGGCAACTTTCCCCATCTCGGCACGAAACCTGATTCTCGACATTTTTTGACATGTGACATGAGTTGCTTTTCTTGGTTCTAGATGCTTCCCATCTTTGTCACAGCTGCTCTAGACACCCGAGCACGATCATGATCAAACCAGGCAAGGGTCTCCGCCGCCGAATCACAATGGTAGCCCATTTCATGATTGGTCTGGCACCAGCAGACTGCGTAAACCGTGGCCAGCAAGCCATCGCTTGCTGATAGCATGCCGAAGTCAAAAACATGCAGCGCTTCATTGTACTCGGCACTGACATTCACATCTGCTGAGCCTTCCTCACCACACTTCAGCAAGAGCATGGCGCGATCCCCCAGTCTCAAGCCGGTGCCGTATACCTCCTGGCGCAAAGGCAAAGGTCACATTAGCGGAAACGGCGGCGTGTGGTTAACAGTGTGAGGTGATACGTGAGAACAGGCCTAAAGCCTAAAGCTTCCTGAGTTCATACCGAGTGGCAGGGACCTGGAAAGAGTTCCAACTCCCAAGTTCGTAAGGGTCCATCCAGGACCGTGCGTTGGGCCCAACGTACACGAATGTCCCGGCTGAAACGGAGAAATCGCCATGCTCAGAACAGTTCCGTTCAGCTGTCTCGCGACACCAACACATGTTGTAAAATCCAACCCTGGTCGGCCGCATCAGCTCGAACGACTCCATTCGGTACTGGCCATCGGTACCATAGATAGCATGGGAGCCTACTGCAAGTTCATGAGGTGTGGACGCCGCATTGCTGCACGATTTCATGACGCGAAGATGGTCGGTGCCAACCTCGTGCAAATGAAGACTGCGGTCAAGCTGAAAAACTCAACCCTAGACCCCAAGCGTCTCAAAACGAACTGAGTTCTCAACCTAAACCTTGAAGCCCTCCTAAACTCTACACACCCGTTTAGCCGCGTTATTCCAAAGAAAACCCGACGCGGGTGGTGAGGGGTGGGGTGGGGGGAAGTGTGAGAGGAGAAGGCGGCAACTGCCTTGAAGCCCAGTCCGAGAAGGTCTGCGACATTGCAAGTAGGCCAGCTTTGGGCACAAGCGGCCGTGTTCGAAAGATACCTCGTCTGCATTTGTTTGAGGTTGTCATCCCCGTCACTCGAACTCCAGTCAACCAAAGAATGAGCCGGAAACATCCGGAAACTCAGCAACCGGAGCTCCTACTCTATGCGCGAAGTGGTCAAGCCTCTGGGCATGGTATGGTGGCTGCTTAGGGGCAGCGAACCGATTGGTGCTTCCTCTTGGCCCACATCTACAACCGCTACAGATCCAAAGCCCCAGGCTGCGCCCTGAACCCATCTGGAACAACGTGGCAGCAGCGCTATGTGAAATTGGTTCTGAAATTCGCACTTGCTACGGGCCGTGGAGCTGCATCTTCGCGAGGAGAGATGTTGCTCCCTCAGACACCCGACTCTGCAAACCTTCAGGGCCATGACTAGTGACTACAAAAGCACAATGCGCCAGCCCAACTCTGCAGGATCTACACGCATGTGCCGTTTGCTGACAGCATGCCTTTCTGCTGCAAGTCTTAACGTTCCCGGTTCGGGTTTCTTCACAATTGACACGGCAAGGCACTGTTGCACTTGCAGATCAGCTTCTCGCCAGGCTTCCAGTCACGCAGTGCGTATCCCACGTCGATGCTAGTTGTCTTCGCATCGCCATCGGTTCTGAAGAAGACCACGCCGCTGGAGTTGTTAGGATCGCAAGTTGACAGACACTGCTGGTCCTGCTCGGGCGAGTCTCCTGCATCCTGGACGAAGCCCGAGTCATTCCCGACAAAAGGCAATGCCGAAACGTCCAGAACGCAAGCTAAGCCCCTGGTACAATTCAACTTCAATTCCGCCGACAAGTCAACGTCGACGATGGCAATGCTTGTCTGCTGGCTTGCCGGCTGCAGAATTGCTGTGCTATTGGCAGATAGAGTTGCGTTGATACATATCCTCTCCTCTGCTTCTGGCTCTGCGTCCGGATTGAGCAAGACAAACAGGCTCACGTTCTCCGGCGACCTACTTCTCCCATTCAGATCAACAGCTGTCTGGAATGCAAGGTTCCTGACGACGCACTTCCTGTCGGATTCACCATCCTCCCACACTATCCCCTGTTCAGGCGCCTGCGGCAAGGCCCAGAAGTCCCTCCCCGTCTCTGCACGATACCGTGGTTGAATCGCGTCACAAGTAACGGTCTCAACGAAAAGCTCGGTTCTTCCACTGAATGCATGTCCCTGCCGCTCGGCCCACATGATGCACTCGTCATGTCCAAACTTTTCGTCCAGAGGAACAACCAGTGGCGTGATGGAGATGGTCCCGCCATCATTGTTGTCCCGGATAATTGCCTGGGGGTTCCACGGCCATACAATACTTGTGGCCTTTCATGACGTGTACACGTACTTGGTTCTTGAAGTCAGGGGCTCCGTACATCTGATGTGCTTGCTGCCTAGAGAGTGGATAAGGTTGCCTTTTGCTGGGATCCACTAGCCCCAAGACCTGTACCCTGAAAGCCTAAAGCTAAAACAACCGACCCAGGCTGGGCACAACGCCAAAATTGGCAAACACAAAGCCCTACACCACAGGCACCCACAGCCAGAACGTGCCAAAACGTGCCAGGACCTCTTCGCTGTGCTAGCCGGCAACGGCTGGACAGAAAAGAAATGTGGTCGGAGCAGCTGCTAGCTGTTCGACTCACGGTAACCGGACAGCCGAAAGCACCCAAAGGCTGCAGCAGCCAGCCATTAAACTTTAACCCCATCCTCATGGCACCTGCGAAGCCCAGGTAAGACCAAAGAAGCCCATGAGATCCCAGATACATTTTACACCCTCAAACCCTAAACCCTCCGCTCGCAGTTGTGGCAGCTGTGGGTTTTTTTCTAGACGAACTTGGGGCCGTATAAACACCTTCAACATCAGGATTTCCTGGCCCTGAGAACTGGACAATCACAAAAGGGGAGCCCAATTCAGAGCAACGGCCTGGAACGTCGCGTCACCAGAAGTAGCATTGATGGGGACAGTGTCGATCCCAATGTTTACAACCTCAGTTGGCAAGGACTGCCCAGGTTGAAGGCACACCAGTCTGAAGTTTCGGGGCTTGTGTTGTGAAGTGCATTTCCGGAGAACAAAGACCGAGGTTCACATCGAAACGGTTGCTACACATCACAGCGATCTTGAGGGGTTGCAGGATTGGGGTAACTCACCTCTCACATCTGTATGGTCACTACCAGCCAGTCTTTCTTCTGATGGACCTCATGCCATGCTGATTGATAAAGAGTGTCTGACTTAACAAGCAGTATGCTTTCCCTATCACACCTCGTACCACACCTGTGCCAACAAGAGCTTTACATACGACACCATTGAATGGCAAGCATTGGCAAGCTGTGCACAACACCTGCTAGAAATCCATGGGGCGGCCACGGTGTATTCCAAAGAACAGCACCCCTAGCAATCAACTGCAGCTCTGAAGCCTTAACAGGGCCAGCGATTTGATTGTCGTAGACGATGAAGAGAATTGCCTTCGGCTCCCAATCGCCGTCTTGCCAAGTAACGGAGTTCTGGTAGAAGTCAAAGTCAACGCCTGCACAAGGCTGCCCACGAGATCATACCACATGCGTCAATATGCCGAGGAGGCCAAGTGACAAGTTGATTGTACAAGTGCAAGGGGAGAAGACATCCGCGCCTTCGACTGCAGTAGTTCCCGGAAGTTGAGTGAGTGTTGCTGTGAGCGTCCCATTTGTCCCGTTAACGCGGACCAACCCGATATAGTCATAGTTGGCATACTGACCGAGATACACAAAGTCTCGCGATTCAACGGCATCTACTTGTCTCGGCAGAAACCTGGTGTCAAGAACTGTGGTCAACCCAGATGCTGACAGGATTTGCACTCCACAACACCAGCTATCGGTCGTAGTGCAGGACAGACACTGGCAGGCACAGCATCTCAAAGCTCACAACACACGGCACCAGCAAAGCCAATGAGAATCATGTCAGGACTACGGAGCGCCAGTCTCCCAAAGCTACGTTGTTGGACTATCACATGGCTTCTGCTCGATAGGTCGTGTTGCAGCAAAACTTCAGTGTGGGCTGAAAACTTCAGTGTGGGCTGAACTTCAATTTTGTACACTTAAGACGAGTATCTGTACTTCTCCCGTGTGCGTCTGAGCGAGCACACCCGGAAGCGCCACCAACCATTGCCAAAAGCGCATCTCGGAACACAGAGCCTAACGTTACTCACGGTTTAATGTGGATTAAGCATGCTGAAGTTGTTACCAGTCAAGCTGGTCAGAATTCCACATGCTTTTACAGATTAGGCATGTGACAGCGAAACTAGTAATTCTAACGTCGTGTCTTGGTCCACGTGCGCATTCACGCTTGTTTGCGAAGGCTCTTGAGCCTCTCGAGGATACCATCATCATCAGCTCCATGCTGCGGCAGGCAAGCGCGGAATTCTCCGAGTGAAGGCCCTGGCTTGTGAACGGAGTCTATGCCATCCGTGCCAGTGGCAATCGAAGTCACCAGCGGCGCAGGAGGTATCTGCGCATTCGGTGCAGGGAGCTTGGTACAGTGCAGAGTGCGAGGGGCTGCCCGTACAACTGCCCAAGTTGCTTGGGAGAAGCACCTCTACAAGTCCCGGACACACGCGTCACGCTTTCGCATATACAACCGGGCTATTCTAGGATCTGTCCCGCTGCCGCTGCATGTGACATGTCCACTCTTGCGTGGGGCTTCTGAACCACACCGATTGCGCAGATGAATCAGACGAAGCAGCACATGAAAATGAAGAAAACATTTCTGGATGAATCCTTCTGGGATTTTTGGCTCTCCGGCCTGGGTCTGGCTTGCTGCAGAAGCCATCGCCTGGCCGAGAAAGGACCCTCTGGCGCATGCGCGGCTGCTAGATGCAGCGACTGCCCTGAACAAGAAAACATTGGCTTAAGAAAACGAGGGGCTCGACCGAGAGCTGACACCCAAACGTGCGGAAAAAAAACTGTACCAAAACAAGATTCATTCTCCTTTGCTTAGTCTTCGGCCTGGCGGGAGTGCCAGACCTGCCCAAACTCCCCAAAAACCCAGTTGCCTCAAAAGTAACTGAGACGTCCAGGACCCCAGAGTGTTTTCATTTAGTTTTGCCTTGCTTCGGGCCCTGCAGTAAAGGATTTGAGAAAGAATAAAGCAGAAATAAATTCGGGGCTTAGGATTTGGGGCCCGTTGTGCGCGGCCAGAGTTTTGAACAAAAGGGTGCCGAAACTTCAATACCCACCCCTGGAATTCTCACCTTCTTGTCCATCACTGTCACTGTAGGCAGGCCTGCCTTTTTCATGCGACACAAACTGATGTAGAATGATACAGCATATCTCGGACAACTCAAGCCGGCTGCTCCGGCTGTACAGCGCTGCACTGCGTGCCAAACTCGGCGGTGCTGCAGGATCCTGTACATGCTTGACACAGTTGCGAACGCCGCAAATTGCAGTGGCGATGTGTGAGTGTGTGTGTCTGTGTCTGTGTCTGTGTCTGTGTCTGTGTCTGTGTCTGTGTCTGTGTCTGTGTCTGTGTCTGTGTCTGTGTCTGTGTCTGTGTCTGTGTGTGTGTGTCTGCCTCTGTGTGTGGGTGGGTGTGTATGTGTGTGTGTGTGGGTGTGTGTGTGTATGTGTGTGTGTGTGTGTGTGTGTGTGGGTGTGTGTGTGTGTGTGTGGGGGTGAGGGTGTGTTGTTTTCGTGCTGATGATGTGTAGTGTGTTGTGTTGTGGTGTGTTGTGTGTGGGTGTGTGCGGGCCGCGTCGTGCGCGTGTGCGCGTGTGCGCGTGTACGCGCACACGCCGTGCGCAATGTGCGCTTGCCATGTGCGCGTGTGCGCGTGTGCGCGTGTGCGCGTGTGCGCGTGTGCGCGTGTCCGTGTGCGCGTGTTGCGCGTGTGGCGCGCGTGTGCGCGTGTCTGCCGCGTGTGGCCGCGTGCGCGGTGGCGCGCGTGGGCGCCCGTGGGCGCGTTCAGCGCGTGTTGCTCGTGTGCGCGTGTGCGCGTGTGCGCTATTGTGCAGCGTGTGCGCGTAGTGCGCGTGTGCGCCTTAGTACTCGTGTGCTCGTGTGCGCGTTGCGGGTGTGTGTGTGTGTGTGTGTGTGCGTGTGTGTGTGTGTGTGTGTGTGTGTGTGTGTGTGTGTGTGTCTGTGTCTGTGTCTGTGTCTGTGTCTGTGTCTGTGTCTGTCTCTGTCTCTGTGTCTGCGTCTGTCTCTGTGTCTGTGTCTGTTGTCTGTGTCTGTGTCTGTTGACTGTGTCTGTGTCTGTGTGCCTGTGTGTGTGTGCTTGTCTGTGTCTGTGTCTGTGTCTGTGTGCCTGCGTGTGCGCGTGGGTGTGTGTGTGTGTGTATATGTGTGTGTGTGTGTGTGTGTGTGTGCGTGCGTGCGTGTGTCTGTGTCTGTGTCTGTGTCTGTGTCTGTGTCTGTGTCTGTGTCTGTGTCTGTGTCTGTGTGCCTGTGTGTGTGTGTGCTTGTCTGTGTCTGTGTCTGTGTCTGTGTGCCTGCGTGTGCGCGTGGGTGTGTGTGTGTGTGTGTATATGTGTGTGTCTGTGTGTCTGTGTGTCTGTCTGTGTGTGTGTCTGTCTGTCTGTCTGTCTGTCTGTCTGTCTGTCTGTCTGTCTGTCTGTCTGTCTGTCTGTCTGTCTGTCTGTCTGTGTGTCTGTCTGTGCGTGCGTGCGTGCGTGCGTGCGTGCGTGCGTGGGTGTGTGTGTGTGTGTGTGTGTGCCTGTGTGTGTGTGTGTGTGTGTGCCTGTGTGCCTGTGTGTGTGTGTGTGTGCTTCTGTGTGTGTGTGTGTGCTACTTCTGCCCGTCGTCTTTTCATGCCCTATTGCAATCCTCACCCCTACAACCCCGCGACCTCGCTGTGCCTGAACGCCTCACCGTGTCCCGAAAACCTCCCCACCCTCCCCCTTGGTGCAATATGGAAGACTCTGGACTACCTTGCTTTGTCTCTCTCTCTCTCTCTCTCTCTCTCGATTTCTTTTGTTCTTCCTTTCTTTCTTGGGGCTTTGGGGCTTGAGGGCCGAAGCCCCAGCACACAACCTTCTTTTTTTTTCTCTCTTGCTTGCTTGCTTGCAGCGCGCTTAACCCCTCAAGAGGGGTCGCCCCAAGGGGCACGCTTCTTCGGGTTTGTTGGTGTGAAACGGGGTGCACGGTAGGGGCCGGGGTAACAACAGCTTTGTCTTCTTTCTTTCTTTCGAAGGGCATGGGAGCCGAAGCCCCCGGGCGTCTACGCCCACCCCTGTTTCTGGGGTGGAGCTGGGAACGGTTTATTCCCACTGGCATGGCCTCTCTGTTTCCCCCCTTTTATCCCCCCATGCCTGATTAGCCCCCGTTTACCGTCCCCCCTTCCGTCATGTTGTCTCTCTTCTTCTTCTTCTTCTTCTTCTTCTTCTTCTTCTTCTTCTTCTTCTTCTTCTTCTTCTTCTTCCTCTGGGCTTGGTGGCCCACAAGGACCCCTCGCGCACGAGCACCCCCGAAGCCCTGTTCCGTCGTGAAACTTTCTCAGCTCAAACCGACCTGTGAAACACGGCCCCGTTTACTGCTGGCCACTCTGTTCTTCTTCTACTCAGTGAAGAGGCCCCCCTTGCGGAAGGACCCCAGCCACGACGTACCGCTGCTGGCCACTCTCGCTCTCCCGCTCTCTCTCTCTCTCTCTCTCTCTCTCTCTCTCTCTCTTTCTTTCGGAGGGCGTGGAGGCCGAAGCCCCCGGGCGTCATCGCCCGCCCCTGTTTCCGGGTGGTACTTAGGTGCAAAGCCCCCCACTCCCCCGCCAATCCCCTCATCCGCACTTCTGTCTCTCTCTCTCTCTCTCTCTCTTTCTCGCTCTCTCCCTCTCTAGAAGATCTCAACAGCAAATCAGCTGCACCCATCCTCCAGAGTCACCTATCATGTCACCGACCTGAGCATGTCAAGAGCATCGGCGAGTTGGCTTTTTTGTCGTGATGTGAATGCCTTAACCTTGCTTGCATTCAGCGCAACTGCACACTTGACTCGAAGAGGTCTGGCTGGCTTTTGAAACCCTTCAGAGCACGTGCAAACATGCCGGGAGCACGCAGAATGCGACCGGGCTGTCCAATTGCGGCACAGATGCGCAAGCAAGATGCTCAGATCTGAGCGCCTATATCGTTCCTGATGCTGATCTTCCTGAAGCACTGCTGCTGTTGCTGCTGCTAAGACCAGTCCAGTCCAGCTTTTTCGGCTGAGAGGGATGCGTTTGGGGTGCAGCTCGAGCTCGACCGGCGATGACTATAAACATGATGGTATTTGTGGCTGCATCGATCCTGGCCATGCTGCCTGGAGCCATCTGCCAAGATACAACAAAGCTTACTTTGATGGCAAAACGTTGCCTGGCCACACAAGAGCTCTATGACACTCTATGGCGTTGGGCAGGATTCTATGACCGGATGCTACGGCCACTGCAGCCAAAGCGAGACACAGCCTAACATAATGGCGATCGTCGTCATCGTCGTCGTCGTCGTCGTCGCCGTTGTCGTCGTCGTCGTCGTCGTCATCGCCACCGTCGTCCCCCCGTCGCCGCTGTGGGGTCGTCGTCGTCGCCGTCGTGGTCGTCGCCGTCGTCGTCGTTGTTGCTGTATGTTGTTGGTTTTTGCTGTTGCTGCTGCGGTACTGTTGTGCGCGTGTACGTTTGCGGGTGTGCTTCGAAGCGTTTGTTTGCCGATTTGGTTCAAAAAATGCAACTTATTTGTTTTGCCTTCATTTGGGCTGCTTTCTGCCCTTTATTTCATGCCTTGTGCTTCCTGCTCGTGTCGTTGCCGTCCACTGTGTTCTTTGTCATTTGTGCTTTCTGTTTCTGCTTTCTGCATGGACTCTTGCTGTCCACTTGTTGCTTTTTTCTTGTACGTTCTGGCTGATCCTTCTGCGACTTGCGGCGATGCAAAGCTTGCGCACAATTAATGACAATCACCGCCTTCCTAGATCAACTCAGCAACTGCCGCCCACGCCTCTTTTGGATATGGCCCTTTTGATTCGATGCAGCTGCACAGCTCATTTGGGCTATCCTTGCTGCATTGCTGGTGCTGGCGAGCCAAAGAAAAAAACCTCAACTGGTTGCCACTGAAGCTTTTACATCTTTGATTAGATACAGATCTGGCATTTCGTATCTCGGACCCCCTGATCACAGGGCGAACAAGGCAAACTCCGTCCAGTCCTGTATATGCAGAAGAAAACATCTGGATCTGGCAAAAATCCGCACTGGCAGTCCTCGTGGTTGATGGGCACGAGCTGGCAGATCTTCCTTCAACTATCCATAGGGCCAGGCACGGCAAACGGTGAGTCCACATACGGGCTTCAGTATTGACGTGAACAATAGCAATGCTGGCCTCAAATTAAAAGGTGGCAACGAGTAGTCGTACCTTTGGCGCAAAAAACAACAAGAGCAGCCATTGCGACTATGCCACGTGCTTCACTGGACCCTCCCTCCTCTTTGAGTGTGTGCAAATGGTAAGCTCCGAGATGAAGTGCTGCTGGTGCACGGGGCATAGTGCGCATGATGCCCCTTGGAAGCTCCCATGTTGTTCGGAGCTTCTCTATGGATGTTGGTGACAAGATACCTGCTGGCGCCACGACGTTCTGTCAACAAAGCTATGTGCCCACATTGCCTACATACACGCTGCCTTCCTTTCCCCAGCCTGGATGCTCTTCGGAAGCAGTGCAATGCTTGAACTGCATCCTCCACGAACATGTGGTTCAATGTCTCCTGTCTGATCGCGCAGACGCCGAGCAGCTTTAGGGGCTTCGCACTTTAGCTTCAAACCTGTTCTGAGGCTTGCTTAAGTCATGGCAGAGGGGAATTAACTAGCGATTGCATATCCATATCAAACTTTGTGCAGTACGTCAGCCTTTCTTCGAAAGGGTACCATGCCGCTGTAGACGATGCGATGCTGTTGTGGGCCCCTTTGTGCTTTTATAAAGGGGGCTTTCGGACATTTCGAAGAGTGCCGCGGGGAGTATGACAATTACCAGAGGCCATGAGCAGACCCGATCTTGCCAAGAGCCTGCGCAAGCGCTCTCCTTGGAAAAAACCAGATCTGCTTGTGGGAGCTGAACATGCGACTGGCTGCAGTCAGCTGCCAGGAATCTGGCATGATGCAACGGGCACAACATGGCCTTGCGATGCCTTGCGTTCTCTACCCAGAAACTGCACTTCACAGATTCACAAATTGGCTGTTACTTCTGGTTGTGAGTGCAGCCATCGGACAATCATGAATCATCCTGGCTATGTCCTTATTTTCGAAACTCTGGCCAGCGAAAAGAAACCCTAGGCTTCGGCCTGTGGGACGGAAAACTCCGCTGGTTCTCCTGGATTCCGGCAGCTATAAATGGGGATTCAAGGTTGAGGCGGTTTTAAGGCTCTGCGCCTCACATCCATCGTCATTTTGAAACTTAGACTGAGACATGCCAGAAAGAGAAGCATGCCATTGCAGGCCCTTGGTCCTCAATCACGTGTTCCACAATGTCTACACCGGTGTACTGCACCTCGGTCTAGCTGCTTCGAACCGGTTGCCCTGCCGCACGGCAATGCTGCTTTTGACCGAAAGAAACTGTCGAGGCCAGTCTGGCAAAGCCTACTGCAGCAAAGAGGCGGATCGTCTTGACAAGACGGCAGTAACCATCCTGGCATCGCTCGGCATTGTCGGGCTCAGAATGAGTTTCTTCGTACCCTCCCAGCCCTTCAGACCTACATGAACTGCTCAGCTCCAACGGCGGGTCAAGAACAGTCAAGAACATCCAAGGTTCAGCTCATTCAACGCATTTCAGTCCATGTTCGTTGACGGGGCCATGCCATGCCCACACGCAGGAATATGATCAATGAAGATAAGAAGCGTGCAAAGGTGGCCAGGCTGCGTCGCCGCACGCTGCGTCCAAAAGCGACTCAGCTGCTAGCCTTCGGAAAAATGGCGCAGGTCCGGAGCATCAAACGCGGATTCACTGGGGATACATTCTCGATGCAGTCAAAGCTGCAGGTCCAGGGCCATGTCAATTGCAGTGATTGCAATGCGCACCATGGGATGGAAGGGGTCGGACCTCGGCAGAAAGCCACATCTAAACTTCATGACAAATTTCCTGGTGTTCATGACTATTGTCAGTGCAGTTTGGCGAATCGTCTTGCGCCAGCGAGGCTGAGGCGAGGAAATACAGGCAAACGTTCTGGGCTGCTCTTGGTGAGTTCACGAGGCCTTTTTGAATCGAGCTCATTTGCACTTCGCAGAAAAGGAGCCGGTTACAGCTGGGCACATTCAGTTTCAGCCCTTCTCAGATCGCGCTCGGCTTTGTATTCTCGCACCTGCATCATGTTCGATGAAACTGCTAGGAGCGCGGACAGCACAGCCATGAAATCTACAAAGCTTCATGAAATCTGAGAAGCTAACTTCTCGCCATGTCCGGCAGTAGGCCTGCCGCAAGGCCTCAACACAAGTGCCTGAGTCTTATACTTAGAATACTTAGAAGCTGTGGCTGAGTTAAGGCTGCGCCTGCAGAGTGCCTTCAGCATCAGCCTGCTCCCAGCGCCTCTGCACCTGTCTCACGACTCACGCTTCCGTGAAGTAAGACTTTGGGTCGCTGGGAGTGAGAGGCAAGCTCTCTGTCAGTTGTCTGCTCTCTGCACTTCAGGTCGGCTGAGCCGCCCTGCTGCAGTGTCTCCAAAGAGACCAGCGACTGTGGCAGCGTAGGCGCGCCCCTGGCCATACTTTGGGTAATTTCATGTAAAATCGCAGCGCCCATTCCCGCGCGGTAAGGTGCGCAAGCATATGCAAGCCTGTAAGCCGTGCAAACCCGACGTGCCGCTGAATTTTCTATTTAGGGTGCTACTTGGGGCACAATGGGCACAGACAACACGCAGCCCTTCCCCTTTATCCCTCTGTAGCCCAGCCAATCTTTGCTGGTCAGCATCATGCACATTCAGGCGCTATCCGTCCCTTAGGGCCTTAAAGCGAACTGAAGCTGCTAGGAGGCCTTGATGCTAGCAACCAATGCGCTGCCCTTCTCGGAGACCAGGCTGTTGGGCACAGTCCGGGCTTGGTCCCACCTCAAAGCAGAACAGGCGATGCAAGGCTACGCAAGCTAGGTCTGCAAAGTTCTGCCAGAGGCCTGAGGTCATAGACTCTCAGAGATCGTCCCGCAGAGCTGAGAGCCATGCCAGTCTATGAGGGACTGGAACGAAAGCGGTCCATCAGTCTGCCATGGGCCAGGTTTTCAGGGGGTTTAGTCAGGGTTCAAGCGCTCTGCACGCTGCAAGTCTCGGTGGCTTTTGGCTTCTGACTGTTCAACATGAGAGTGCTTGAATAGGCTTAGTCTTCAGGCTTTTCCGTTGTCAGCATTTTTCTCGTTGCTTTCTGGAGTGGCAACTCATGCTACGAGTAGGAGCTCACTCGCTCGAAGGTCTCGCTGACCGGTGATCATCATCTCCTGGCCACGAGGGACGGGTTCCGAATGGCTCGATGGTAAGTGAGTCTCTAACCATCCCCTACCCCGAAATCAAAGAACAGCTGCTCGTGAAGAGGAAATACGAGTCAAAACGATGATGCAAGCTGGACAAAAGCGCTAAAACAAGAAGCACTTGCCATCCGACTCAATGCAAATCACTCATGACAGCAGAAGTACAGCACCACGTGTCCTCTGAGGGAGAAGTCGTACAGCTTCAAGCCATCGACGTCTTGCACCTGCTGCGGATCCAAGGCGCCAGAGTGAGCTTTGCCAAGTTGCAGTGGGACAAGGTCCACGCAAGAAGCCGCAAGAACCCAGCGGGAGTAGAATTGATGTAAACGTGCCGGCAGCACAAGGCGCCGCTCCCAGCCGGGCATGTCAAAAAAGTGGCTAACCTGATAATCATAGCTCGTGTTCTGCTACTGACCTGTTTTTATTTACATGAGGCAAGTGAGGCGCACCACAGCAGCATGGGGCGGCAACTCCTGGCCAATGTTGAGAAAGCCATGCATTCAGTTGCAACAGCGAATCCCAAAAGCATACGGAATTGCGCCCACCTCATCAAGTTTCTTTGCTGCAAGCTCCATGAAGGAGTCTCCAGGTCTTCCGTAGACCTCGAACTATCTTGCAGCCTACTCTCTCCACAAGCTGCTGTTGCTAGGTTGGAGCGGCAGGTGACGCCCTAATGAAGCACAGGCGGTGACGGTGACGACATCAGCGTCTCGAAGATCTGCGGACCTTTGCTGGCGGCTCTCAGACTGCCCACTGGCTTGACCACCTGGTGACGGACGACATCTCCTCTAAGTGCACCAGCCTTGCAACATGACCTTAATTCCAAGACTTGACCCATGCCTTCGAACCTCAACATCAAGTGCCAAAAGCACACCGCGGTAAAGGCCATGGTACAAGGGACAACATGGCGGTTCTATTCGATCCCTGTCCTACTATACTAAGACGCATGCGCAAGTCTGCTTGCCAAACAGCTTACAGAGGTCCGAAAACCCACAGGCCATCGTGAAACCACACGGGCAGTTCTCAATTGTGGGCCCTTATCCAGTGCCTTGTGGCTACCTTACTCTAAGCATTCATACTGCGTCCATATTTATCGCCGGAGAGGACCCGTAATTCACCACCATAACCCCTAGACCCTAACCCTAAACCCGAAACCCTAAACCCCAAACCCTAAACCCTAAACCCCAAGCAAGCTTCACCCCAGAGGCCGGCGCCAAGCATTGGCCCAGCGCAGCTGCCCCGAGCCCGGGCCCGCGCGCAGCGCGCCGAAGCAGCGGAGTCGGGACCAGAGCAGTAGGTACCTGGGTTTAGGAGTTTAGGAGTTTAGGAGTTTAGGAGTTTGGGAGTTTGGGAGTTTACGAGTTTAGGAGTTTAGGAGTTTAGGAGTTTAGGTTTCGGGTTTAGGAAGAACCATACTCAAATACCGATTAAATTCTTGGAGAACTATCTGCCTGTGGACTTTCAGAACGCCTAAGCGGGCAACTCGAAACTCGAGCTTGGGGATTCTGAGGAGGCCTCAGCTGAGGGTGAATGTGGGGCCTATGGCATCTCACGTTGTTTCATGTGTCAAACATCGAGGAATCTGGGGTACCAGGCCACCAGCCAAAACAGCTGTTCGCAAGGTCTACCCTTACATGTCAATCTACGAAGACCGTGGTCGCAATTCGATACCAAGGCACGGATTCAATTCGTAGCCGGTTGCACGCATCCTTGGCTGATTCTCGAGCTGTTTTTTTTTCAGCTGAGCTCGAGACAAGCATAAGGTGATCAGTAAGGGCTGCAAACAGAAAACCAGCCAAGTCCAGGCCTGAAACGTGCTACGACTCGTCGATATTCTACCTACTGGAAGTGGTGGCCCTTCTGGACTACATGTTAAAAGAATATGTGAGATAAAGCCGAAGCACAAGCCTACAGTACAGATTTGCAGGCTTAAGCACTGGGCTGCAGCTGGGGTACCCATGTTTAACAGCAGCTGCAACGAGCCGTCCATCACCGCTGCCGAAGTCAACCAGGCGGAGTCCTGCTAGAGGTCCTGAGCCAAGACCGTGAAAGGGCAAACCATAAGGGCAAGAATATAGAGGCCGACGTGCAAGTCTCCTGCTTTGCTTGTGGAAGCGCCACTTCCTCAGGAGTTGCTACCCTCGAAGGGTCCCATCACCATGCCACAGGGTGCTACGCATTGCTTCTACCACCTCTACGAAGTCGACCTCGGGACTGAGACGTCTTGAGTGTCAGGCTGCGAGCCGCCCAAGCTGGTAGCACCTGGCCGAACAGCACCTGCACCGATCCAGACTCAGGTGGCCCGCATCGTGGGCTTCCGCAAAGGGGAACAAAAGAGAGCACCCGTAGTCACACAGAAGTCGTCTCCTTTTCCTTCCAGCTACCACTTGAGCTCCGCTGCAGCCGGCCATGCCGTCCCACAGCAAGTGGAAATCCTGCATGGCGTTGCAATGCTTGCATGCAAAGGAGGCTGTATATGTCTCCTATTGCCATCAACACAAACAGCTCTTTTCGACACAGGATGCGAAGGGCTGCAGCTGCTTGCAGCCACGGAGTAGGAAAAGGATGTGATGACAGATGACATGGAAGCACGTGGCCGCCTGCCAAAAGCCCCACCCATTCATTGGTCCTTTGATCGAAGCGTGGAGAGGCGAGCTGACAGTCGCTCGGCCACATCGGCCCGGATGCGATTCCTGGGACCATCGGTTGCTTGCTTCAGCGCTTAGGAGCTGATGAGGTTTGCGGCTAAAGGGTGGCCTAACTAAGCCGCTAACATTCGAGTGTTTTTGCGTTAATACATCCTGGTCTTTATGCTGCCCAAACCGATGGGCTCAGCTGTGCGTGCACATGTCCGGGCGACGAGCTCCATCCCGCACGCTACGAGTAGCATGCGCCTCCTTGCTATCGTCATCCTCCTCATGTCAGAGGATGGCCGAGGTCATCAACGAGATGACAGCCAAACTCGGAACTCAAACCAGCGGCCGAGAATTTGCGAGGGCAGAATCTTCAAGCACTCACTCCGAGCCCGTGTTGCCAGACAGAGCCGGAGCCCTGAAAGGAGAGCTCTGCACTTAATGTGCTGTTTTTGCTGGTTTCCCGGGGTGTGTGTGCGCGCGCATGTGCATGTGGGGAGGCGGCGGTTGGTACCCGCACCCCGGGCAAAGGGAGAGAGCACATCGAATGCGATCTGGTGATCTCTCACATACTTCTTGCGTGTGTTCTTGCAGGTCCATCAATTTGTACGGCTCTGACTGTCGCATTTCTTCCAACTCCGAGCTCCGGTCTGGCGAATATCCAGAGAGCGCAGCGCCGTGCCGTGCCCAGCGCGCAAGACCTGCAGGCTCAAAACATACCGTCACGCGCTCCTAGTTGAAGGCCTAAATTGCGCGCGGACACCACAGCACTACGCTATTGCGGTTCCCGCAGAAGGTTTCGGCTAAGCGGCGAAGCACTGCTTCAAGTTGCCAGTTAAGGATAAAGGCGCCGTAGCTGCCCAAGGCTGGTACTTCGACACCATTAGGGGTTCAGAATAGTTTAGGAGGGCCTCTGATCTTGAGGTTGTTGGAACGACGGGGTTGCGGTTCAAACGAAGCCAGCCTGGAGAAGAGTGCTGAACCAGGCATCAGAGATGGGCCTCAGAACAGCTGACAGGGACTCCCGAGATCTCTCAAGCGTTCCAAAAGCACCCTCAGATTCGTTGAACGGGGAACAAGATACAGGGGAGGTCTAGGGTCTAGATCTCATGTTCCCGAGATGCCACAGCCACAAGCTCTGGCTACAGCACTTCTCGAGAAGACACAGCTCTCTTGCCCTGAAGCAGTTCACAGCTCTTGCCAAGTGACGGATACCAGGCCAAAGCTCCACACAGGCAGAAATGCTCCAAACCTCTCTCAGGGTCTGTGGCAACTGCAAAGGCTTCGGAACGCACGTATAACACCAATTAACACCGCATTCTCTCACATTCTCACTGTGCCATGGCCCTGAAGAGCTCTGTCGAACATGGGCAACAACAGGGCAAGCCATAACACCCTGCTAACCCTGCCTCATGCGAACAGCCTGGCAAGGTAAAAAACCATTTTGCTTACCTCAACCTGCTTCGCTGGAATCAAACTCTAAGTCTTCTAAACATCCTCAACCCACTTCAGCCGAATTCAGCCGAATTCAACCCCTACATCGCTCTCCTGGTGCACCGCGCTCCAAGACTGCCCAGACTGCGTCGGAAGGCACCTCTCCAGGGCCATGCCTGGCTTTGCCATGACGTGACTCTTCGGGCGCTCTGCGTTGGGGACCCTGCAAGAAGAGCAGTAGACCCGCCCAGGCCCATATAGCCTAAACCTAAACTTCCTAAACCCCTAAACGCTGCAGTCGAGAACATGCCGGCCCGACTTGGCATCTGTGATTCGGCCCCCAGGTGCTTCTCGGTGCCTTCCACTCACCAACATGAACAAGAGCTGATTCATGCTTGCGGTCAGCATCCGCTAGACGGTCACGAGCAATGACTGGTTAACAAATTCAACGTACCAAGAAGCATTGAAAGATCCAGCTCCTGCACGTCCAGTTGTCCACACAGAAGCGGTCTCATGCAAACAGAGCATGACAAGGCCAGCTGAGGCTTGAAACTGCAAGGTCCTTCAGTTGTGGCATAGAGCGGTTTCCCTTTGGTCCCAAAGCGCTTAGGACCTCAGGTTTTCGAAAGGTTGCGAAGCAAAGCCGAAGTATAACAGGCTGCGCCACACCTG